ACGTCCAATTTGTATATGTTGTATTCCTGTAGGGCATGTGTTTATTACTCCTATAGGGCTTCATCAATGTCTTGATTTTAGAGCTCATCATACTTGAACAAGTCTAACTTTTTTTTTCTTTACTCTGCTGATGTCAGTGATAAAAAGTTGGTGATGAGAACACAATGGAGAATGAGATGATGTGGCCAAACAGGATCGGCACTTGGTCAGCGGACCTTTTTTGGGGGTCTGGAAGGTCATTTTTGTCAATTTTGATGATTGTGACTCAAGTGGCACTTTAGAGCCACTGTATATGTGAGCCTACTTGCACATCAAGAAGATCTATAGTGACCTATATTGTCAAAGAAAAATGAGTATCTTGCTTGTTTATCAAGCAAAAAAAAATGGGCACCCAGGCGGGCAGGGCTGCCTGCATGCCCGCAGGGCTTTTGTGGCTAAACCTTAGTGTGACAGGGCACAGAATGTCTGGTGAATATTGTTGGGCACAGTTGGCTGGGCAGGGCCTGGTCTGGGTCACAGCTCTAGTATGGTGTGAGTACACGTTGTGCACCCCTTTACAAGTGGGACATAAGCTTTGAAAACTCATCTCCATAACAATATGGTGGAGTAATGTTTGCCTCTTGGTAAAAGGGGTAACACATGTAGAAAATTAGTATGAACAACCTTCCCTGTGGGGTAAAGTGATGTTTGCTTTCAAAGGGAGCGGCAAAACAAAAAACTACATAAGGACACATAATCTGTGGAGTGTTCACACCAAAAATCAACAATTACACCAGGGGGTAAACTTCCTTGGCCTTGGATTGTTCTGGAAACGTGTCCAGGAATCTTGTTGCGAGAACCAAGACAAAGCGGTTCCGGTAACAAAATGAGGAGAACCGTGTGACAATCAGTCGTTTTCACCAGTTTTTGTGGGTTCAAAACGACCAAAAATCATAGTCAAAGATGGTATGAAGGTTGGTCAAGACTTGGATGAGACAGTACCTTGACCCAAGTGCAAACATATGGTTGTGATGAAATGCATTTGACCTTGTCAGTCTTTGCTCGGCTGAGCTGTCAATTGATGGGTCCAGCACTCTTGAATACAGCCTGCTTTTTGGTGACTGCTACGTGATGGCAGCGTTTTTGTTTCGTAAAACCTGGACACCTTCTGGACACATTCCGAAACAATTGAAATGTTGTAACGTGTCCGTAACACTATCAATCCTAGTTTTGAAACATGTGACGTACCCCCTGGTGTAGTCATGAAGCCCCTCTGCAAGGGCGCGGCCGGGCTTTGTCAAGGAATGCCTTGTTTTATGGTCCAAACAGAAATCTTAGAAACATAATGTTCCAAGATCCCTGTTATCTGTTGAACAGGTTGATTGATTTTACTTTCTTCCAAATCAGTACAATTTAAGAATTTCAAGCCATCAGCTTCTTGCTCCCAAGTTTGACTGGCCACTCCTTTTGTTAGACCCATTTTGACTATTGTTCCTGATCACCTGGATTGCACAAGTCTGCTACCACCTTTGTTTTGAGTTAAGGAGTTTTTGAAACTGAGTGAATTCTCTTTCATTTCCAATTGACTTTTCTACACATGGAAAACTTATGTATTTGACTGAAGCAGTAATCAATGTTGACTTGACAAAGGTTAGATCCATTCTGAGCACCAAAGGTGCACTTTTCCTACTTTTGGAATCTTATCTCTTATGTTTTGGCACCAGATTCTTTTGTTGCATTGGAGGCTATTTGTTGACTGTCTTCATTGATGAAGTTATTATTATGATCTGTTTGCACTCTAGTTTCAATTGTAAATAAGGCATGGCCTGATGCTTTTACTCTGTGGGATGCATTTCAAAAAGTAATCAGTGTGCTCTGTGTATTTGCCTGGTCACCCAAAGAATATCAAAAGGGTATCATTCTATGTGTTCTCTATCAGTCCCCACCACACTTTCCACCTCATCTCAGCAGTGCTTACCCATTATATTTCTACATTCAATTGAAATCTTTGTTCATTCCCCATCATTTCTTGATTTTGTATCTTCTCCTTTGGTCTTTTGATTCTTTTCTTTTCAAAGAAACTCCAACTAACTGTAGGGTTAAATGCGTCTACCATATAAGTGTGTGTTCAAAATGGGCAATAACATATGGCAGTGGTTACCTAAAAACAATTAGAACTATTATTTGGAAGTTGTGTTGCTGAAAAAAGTTTGGGAAAACAGTTACATGTGAGGCTTATGTCTACTCAACTTTTGAGGCACTTAATACTAAAGGGATTGCAAGAAGACAGCTTTCTGGAAGTTCTTTCCTGTTTTACTGACCTTCAGGGCAGCCTGAAGGTATCAATGTTTTCCAAGTCTTGCACATTTGTTGAACATAGCACTGTTGTAAGACATGGTACAGTGCCCGCCAGATGGTTTACGTGATCACTCAATTTTGGGAAACAAGCCCAATACCAGGATCAAGACATTAGTACAATCAGAAAGATTGCTAATTGAATAGATATGAATAAAAGAATATGAGTAGAACTGTTGTACTTTCTCTTTTCCTTTCTGTTGAATTGCTGATAAGTAAAAGAGTCTGTATACACGTCCTTGAGGTGGTGCATTTAAGTATGGATGGTATTCAGGTTTCATGTTAAAGCTCCAATATAAAGCTGAATTTGACTAATGTGACTCAAGTATCCTTTCAACTAACACAATAGCTGAAACCTTACTATGATAGTGTGATATGACACTCAACATCAGTGATATTGTATATCATTTATGTTTTGTCTTTATTGATAGATGCAGAAATTTCTGTACAGGCAAACAGGATATTGCAGGTTTCATTGACAATGTATCACACCTTGTGACAAATACAGAAATAGATCTAATTATACTAGACTTGGAAGAAGAGGGCAATAGGACATTAGATTGGGTATGCATACATGGGGCAATCTTTGATGAGAAGACAGTCCAAGTCATGTGTTTCAATGACATGCACCAAAAACACAACAATCCAAGCCTCATATTTGGAACTCAAGTGCTTACATCCTAAACAACAGAGCCCAGGTGGCTAGGTTTGTGGCTAGACCCTAAACTGACATATGGTGCACACTTACATGGAAGTCAGTAAAGAGGGAAGGCAACCCTAGATCCGCTCAACAGAATAAGCATATATTACCATGGTTTGAGCCCAGAGGAAAATAAATCTCATAACAGTGATTTTGTAACCAATAATGATCTTTGGAAGCATTGTATGGCCCCACACATGCACACGAGGTAAAGGGTCTAGAATATTTGACCTCTTGCAAAACTCTGCAAACAGACTGATATTGGTACGTTCAAAAGTTCACCAACAAAATCAATGTACCACAACACAGGTACAATTACATTCAACGACTTGACAATAAGATAGCACCAGAATTATATCTAACAACAATTGACAGCACCAACAACACATCTGGCACAAAGGATACTGCATCACAGGCTGTTACAAATACCAGATACACATAAAAGCCCCATCCATAGCCTATTGACAAGAGCTGACATAATACTGCCCTCTACAAACATGTTAGAAACAATATATTTGTTCCAGAAACCCAGTTGACCACCAAAAAATTGGCAACAAACGAGAGGAGGTTATAGAATAAATACCAAATCAGTTTGAAAAGGAAATTGAACAAAAAGTAAATGTGATATTAATGGATGGATCATACATCCCTGATGTAGGACATGGAGCAGCTGTAGTCATGGAAAGGATGAGTGCAAGCCATGCATATGACCCACTAGAAGGGATATCAAATTGCAAGATGGAGATAATGGGTGCCATAATAGCATTAGTTCAATTCAAACAAATTGCTGACAAATACCCTGATAAATTCTCTTTGATCACAATATTTAGTCATAGCCAGGCAACCCTTGATTTAAAAGCTAAACTGCTTCAACCCAAAAAACTTTGATACCTGGCAAAGTCCCTCCTCAAAGCATACGACAAGATTCCAACACAATGCGTCCCACAATCATATTTGACGCTGGGACGCAAAGGGATCAAGCTGAATGAACAAGCAGATCAGGCAAGGGAAGCAGCAAAAGTTAATATGTTACCAATTGGCTTGGATGAAATGCTGTGCCACACACAAAAACTATTTCATCAAAAAAAATCTGTTTTTATTAAAAAATCGTACAGAACCAAAGGAAAACAGACAGCTGATGCATTGAATAAATTAGAAAAAGGACATGTGGCAGCAATCTTTCAACTCCAATGTAACCACTTTACATTAAGGAACATATTACATAGGATAGGAGTAGAAGCAGATAGCAGATGCAATGTTTTTTCTGCAACAGAAACACCGGCGCATTTTTTGATTTACTGCAAGAAGTATACAAAACAATGACAAGTTTTTAGAAGACAAATTAGTGAGGAAAAGATTAAAGTTAATATCAACTCAGCTAGGCATATTTTAGCTGGGTGTGTCTTCTTTCGTTCTCGCTCAGTTTCTCTTGCAAAGGCTTGGTAGTAGATGTCTCACAAGAAGTTGTAATATTTTAGTTGTTTTACAGTAGTTTGACATAGCGTGTCAGTGAGATATGTGATATCAAAAGCACTCAAAAAAACACTGATAGTCATCAGACAGTGCAAGACTGCAAATCTATGTGGTATGAAAACCTGGTAGACAAGTCACAAACCTCCCAATCATCAACAATTGTGATCCCTTCATGAAACTTAACAAACCTCTATATTATGTCAAGGAAAAGCGGAGTCCCAGACTCAGTGAAAACTATTCAGTCTAGTATATCAAGAGAGGTAATGAATACTGAACCCGCTCTGTTTGTACAAAACAAATCTGTGTGTTACAAAACAGAAAATAGTGATAGAGCGAGGTTGAGTAATTCATTGAGAGTACAAATAGATATACAATCTCTTATGGTGTGATGAGTTTAACAAAAAAACAAAAACCTCCATATTCCAAGAAGAAAAAGTTCAAAGATAATCACAAAGAAGAAAGACCTCGAGTCCCAGAAGGAAATAAAAAGGAATCATTCTTTGTCCCCTGCTTTATCTTGATGAGTATGAGTTCCTTTCAAATGTTTCTTTTCATTTGGGTCCTCTTCAAATTCTGCATCTTCATTTTCAACTTCCAAATCCATAAAATTCAATTCTAAATTCAAAGAAGAAAGTGTAATGGTGTCTACACCACCTTTCTTTTCTACTACTTTTTTAACGCATACGCCTACTTGAGTATATGCGTTTATAATTTTTTGAACTGAAATATTCACTTCTTTAAGTTTACCTAGAAGATTATATCGAGTTCAGAAAAGTTGTCATCAACCTGAATCTCTTGAGCTCCTAAATTTTAATTAAGCATCACAGAACAAGATTAACTTACCATGACATCCTTTTTCGATTGAAGGGTGTTCAACTAAAGCAGTCACCACTTTACTATAAGAGACCACCACTTCTGCCACATGTTCAGAATATATAGTCTAAAAAATGAACAATCAGACTTTGGGCAATCAAATCAAGAATGAAAAGAGGAAACAAAACGCTCACAGCTGATTTGTGATCAAAATCTTCATGTTGAACTGTTTCTTCGATAATCTTAACAGTACTATGAAACGTCTCAATAGATGCATAAACAGCAACCTGATCACCTTTCTTTGAATTATTCTTCACTACTTCTACTGTTTTAACACAAGTCAGAGAACTACTTTGAAAAACTTCTTGATAATTGATTGTGAAATTCTTATTGAGTTCGTGCGTTGGTGGCAAGTTCTTGCTGTTTTCTGGATCGCTTTTGACAAAACAAACTGGAGAAATTGAGGGATTAGATGGATTTTCAACACCTTGGAGAATTGCACGATAGAACTTACCGAAGGAAACAATCCCCAACAAAAATTGACGAGCCAACATCATGAATATAAGGAATTAAACGCTATTGTCCCTGATTGACAGACGAAAAAGTAGATGAGTTTGGTAAAGCCGATAAGTGAACACAAGCTCACAATGTTTGGATAAGATGTAAGCTACTATATTTTCTCTCACTTACAGGAAATAACTTGGTCTTTGTAATTTTTAGATCAAACAACAGCCAATCAGAGTTAAGAGTCACGTTTTTAAGTACTCAATTTTATCTTGGCACCAAGACTCAAGTTATAGATTTGCAGAACGAATCAACCGATCAAAATTCTTCCTTTCTTTCTTATGGCCAAGTTGGGACACAAAGACAAAACTCCAGAGTCCAAACTCAAACTAGGAGCTATCTTCAGTTTGAGAAAATGTAATGAATCCTAAACATCTCCATCTGGATCGCTATTTTTCTCTCTGCATCGATGGCGTTTATGTAACAGGTCGGAGAAGATATGTAGGCAATGTAATTATCTGATCATTCAAGGCGGTGTAGCAGGGTGCAGCGTGATGATGTAAGGAAGGAGATTACTCAGTTGTAGCATATCTTTAGTATCTGTATAGAGAGGGTATATATGTTGTCCATCCCTCTCCTCCCTTCCTTCTTTCCTCTCTGAGGTTTCTCTTCTCCACTCTCGATCTCTGGCTTCTTCTCTGACCTTTTGTTGTGGTCTAGGTATGGTCTCCCTCTCGGAGGTTTCTCTTCTCCACTCTCGATCTCTGGCTTCTTCTCTGACCTTTTGTTGTGGTCTAGACTACTATTCTAGTGAAATACACCTCGGTTATAGATCAGTCTAGGCTTCGGCCTGTGAGTCACCTCCCAGTGAAGGTCGAGTGATCCTCGACCTTACACTTTTTTGATCTATACCGACTTCAAACCAACTCTCAAATCCAGTGATCAACAAATTCGATTTTTTCAGCTATTCAGCCAGACCAGAGACTCAGCAGACTGTTCACTCGCCTTACACGGTGTTTCAAGTTCAAATCAGACTCACCATTAATGGTGTTTTAAGAGTTTTCAATTATCCATCCAGAGATTCAGCACACTGTTCACTTGCCTCTTGCGGCGTTTCAAGTTCAACTTCCAGATCACACTCACTGCCAACGGTGTTTTAAGTCAAACTCCCAGATATCATTTTACACAGTTTTAATTCAATGGAACACAGCCTCCTTTTGGGAATTCTCTTATAGCAATGGTCGTGCCAATAGAACACTCATAACCAGCCTCGGTTTTACCTTGAAAAGATGACACATTCATATTCACACCCATATGGGCATCCAAGCTTGCCTATTTCTTATCCAATTTTGAATCTGTCACCTCACATCATCAGTGCGATACATCAGGTTTCGGCACTGGCCCATCATCTGAATCTTCTTGTCTCGAACTTTGCACCGCATCTGCATTCTCATGGCTTTGGAACTTCGCTTACACCTAATGCCTGTCGGAGAAAGCCCTCAATTCGATCGCAGAACTGGCGTCGGCGTACTGAAAACTCTACAAAGTCAGCAAGATACCACAGCTTCCCTCTCCAGCACTGCAACACACCTTTTGAGCCCAGCAAAACTCCTCCCGAAGTCCCCTATGACACTCGACCTAGTTCAATGCCGCCCTTGCCAGTTTTTTTCACTCGACCTGTGGTGATGTCTCCATTGCCAAGTACCATCGCCGAACCTGTGTTGTGTTCAATGTCATCTGATTGGTCAAGTTATTCTCCTCCAAGTCGGCCTCATTCTGTACCACCATTCCCAGAGCTGGATAGACGAACTCGCTCAAGGAGCGTTCATTCTCCTCGATTCCCTTTCTTAGACCTTGCTAGCCCGGCCAAACATCAATTTTATCATAAACTACCCATGTTGTCCGATCTGGAACCCTCAGGGAACACTGCTAAACACTCACTAGAGACTCCTATACATACTGAGGGAGAATTGGCGAACGACTCAATTGTAGACACTCAAATGAAATCTACAAACAAGCCTCAATCTCAGCTTGATCCGACCCAAGAAAGTTGTGTAGCGTTGAGACAAGAGTTGAGGGAGCTCGATCAGACCCGAGAAAGTCAGGCAGAGTTAAGACAGGAGTTGAGTGAGGTTCGCGCGATGATTGAAGCCTTGTTGCGTTCACCGGACCATCTACAAACAGACGTGATCAACTCCGAACCAGCAAAATCAAGTGATCAAGCCGCAGCCAGCTACACCACGAACCCCCAGTAACCGGTCCTCATCGGGCGGTGACCCCCGGTTGAGGACCGGTTTCCTTATTAGTGGTGACCACCGTTGAAAACACGTGGCCGTCTTACCGTGTTGTAAACGGGTTTTTTAAAACTGGTAACTACACTGTTTATCACTAGTTCCAAACTGGTTGAAGCCTCCAACCATGCTTGCTAAGAAAGAGACAATAGGATCATTTTATCAAATCATGTCGATGTCTCAATTCATACTCACTGATTCATAAAAGTGCAAAGCAAACAGAGGATTCAATCCAAGTTGATTGCTACATTCAGAACAACTCATTTACTGGACTGACAAAGATTAAGAATACAAAAATGAAATGTCGATAAGATAGAAAATAAGATATGAAAATGATTGAAACAAACAGCTCAAAACTAAGAATGACAAAGACGAGGAAATGAAACTATATTTCAGCGAGATCGTCACTGAGGGCAAGTACAGCCAGAGACTCGCTTGCTACTGCAATTTCATAGCCTGTATCGAGCTCTCAACCCTGCTGTGGGGGTTCTTGACCGAGTATGGGTTGCCTGAAGATTCAATCATTTGTATAAAGACATAATACCTGGTGGACATGAAGACATGATAGTCAGTCCCAGATCGATCTCAAGCTCAACTTATGAGGACTTACCGAATGATCTTCTCAGGGTTGATATCAAGTCAAACAAACTTTGAATGTTCTTCTTCACTCAACTCGTCAGGTGTTTTTGAAGTATCAACTCCCAACTTTGAAATTGTTCCAACATGATCGAAGCAGATCTTCTTTTGCCCTTGATGGCAGGGCACAATCGACTGAAGATAGCTGTATCTGATTGAGTAGACTCGCAAAATCGATGTGCATCAATAGCAGCAGGTATGATCAATGACTAATAATATCAGTAACACTTGCCATGTAAACAGAGAGATGAACAAAATAACACTGACCTTCCCATAGAATGTCAATCATTGAGTAAAAATTATTGAGGCAAATCAGATCAAATGATAAGATAGATTTGTGAGAATAAGTTGAACAAAAGATCCTAAAAAGACTGGATCGATTGACTCAAAGACTTGTTTGTTTATCTAGACGAGTGAATCTGATAGAATGATTAAACCAGTCTCGGATTCATGCCATGAAGGATGTAAGCTAGAGGGTGAGGAGATCAGGGGAATAATGATTGCTTGAGGTAAATCTGGATTAAATGATTGTTGATGAAGATGACTATAAGGTTGAATTGTAGGACTTGATGGAATGTTGTTAATGGTCTCGATGGTTAGATTTTGAATAGATTGAATGATGATGATGGCGAATCATGATGATGAGAATGAATTATGTCATTAAAAGTGTGACATCGTTTTGAGATCAGTTGGTGGAATTTTAAATTAAATTTTAAATTAAATTTTTGATTAAATTTTTGATTAAATTTTCAACTTGGTCCAAAGTCTTTGAAGGCTTTTGATTCTTCAACCGGTGAAGACGAGTTAGGCATCCGATAATCGATCAACCACAGGAAGCTCGGATGTGATGTTCATGGTATTTTACGCGGTGTTTCGAATAGCGGTTGATTAACTGCTGGGACACTGGTCGTACGACCGTTACCCAATTCACCGCGCAGAAAACGGATCATAGTCCGATAATCCGCCAGCGCACCATCGAGTTGTCAGCGGGTCAAATTTAAAACCCCCTGGCACCGGTTTTTCAACGAAAACAGGGTTCGTGGTGTATGATCACCCAATCAAACTGCTTTCTTCTGAATTACACTCAGACCCAATGAGCTCGCTTCCAGAATCAATGTCAGATAATCAAGTCGGACCCAGCTGTTATCAGTCTATCAAGTCTCCTCCTTCTGAGTCTCTGTCTAATCGGATCAGCTTGTCTCTGTCATCAAAATCTTCAGATATTGATCCTGACCCAAACAGTTGTATTACAACACTCGCTCGGCCTGATTCCACCAAATTGGACCTCAATGCTCACCCATCGAACTCAACTACAATATCAAATTCTGTTATTGACCCCAACTCAAACAAATCTCTCACAAAGACAAATCAACCTACTCCTACAGATCAAACAATTCTCACCTCTAGTGTTGCTCATTCTGCTGTGTGTGATCCTACTTGTGTTCCAATCAAGAAGAAGAAAAAGAAAAAGACCAAAGCAATCATTCTAGAGACAGAAGTACCTGATACCCTTAATTTTGACCTGACACCACCTGCACCTGCATATGGACCGGGATCTGACAATTATCCGCCTCCGCCAACACAATCTCAAATTCAAGAACTATCTGATATACTTGTTAAGCGTCATCCTGATCTATGCATACTGGAAACAGATGATCAAGGATTTTACCTCGGTAAGGATTGTAACAAAAGTCCTTTTGATCAAGATGTCCTGCTATATTCCTTTGATGGCACATTGATCTTTCAACTTGAAAATGGGATTTCAATTTCAACAACTTAAATTCTTCTTCAATGTCTTCTATTTGGTCTTTGTTCAAGTCTCCTTTTCTTGGTTCTTGATATTCTTTCTACTCTCTGTTGTCCCATATTACCTTTTCCATAGACTCTGTGACTCTGTGATGGAGGGATATTTTTTCATTTTTCCAATTGGATTATTTAACTTTTATATGATTTTTAGGGAGTGGGTTGTTTTTTAGGAGGGGAGGGTGTAAGGAAGGAGATTACTCAGTTGTAGCATATCTTTAGTATCTGTATAGAGAGGGTATATATGTTGTCCATCCCTCTCCTCCCTTCCTTCTTTCCTCTCTGAGGTTTCTCTTCTCCACTCTCGATCTCTGGCTTCTTCTCTGACCTTTTGTTGTGGTCTAGGTATGGTCTCCCTCTCGGAGGTTTCTCTTCTCCACTCTCGATCTCTGGCTTCTTCTCTGACCTTTTGTTGTGGTCTAGACTACTATTCTAGTGAAATACACCTCGGTTATAGATCAGTCTAGGCTTCGGCCTGTGAGTCACCTCCCAGTGAAGGTCAAGTGATCCTCGACCTTACAGATGAGATTCAGGAAGAATCACATTGTGTATGAATTTCTATGCCGAGACCACGTTTTATAGCTTGAGCATCTATTCACACTTATGCACAAAATTTCAAAAGCCTATGTCATCACAACTGGACCAAAAGATCATAGAACCAAAGATCTAACTACGAACCCGTGGTGTAATCTGGATGTAACAAAGAGAATGAATATATGTACCTAGAAACTCAAAAACAAAATCAATTTTGAGCCAAGCGGCATCATAATAGCCTATCCGTGGAACTACAAGGTGTCTATGATTGATATATTTCGCAGCCCTTTGAATCTACCCAAGCCTGAGGCTTCTTCTCCTCAGCGACATTGGAGGACTCGACACCCGGATATTATAGTTCAAACACGGTTTACTTGAAGTGGAAATTTTGATACAACTCAGAAGGTCCTGTTGGTCCGAATATTGTCTTCTCCATGATGTAAGTAAGAGTCAGTTGCCGCTCTGAACGTCAATACTCAAAGCCTTTTTGTGAGCAGAGCTGACCAGCGTCAATTGCCGTCCATCCGTATTTTGGATTGCTGTCCAAAGGGATAGGTTTCAACAATTGTGAAGAGTCCAAATAGACCACAACTGATGGGAAAACTGATGGAAAAGACTCTCTGTTGAATTGGCAGATTTTGATCATGAATGGCTGAAAGATGACCACGAGTTTTCTGGATAGCTACTGTACTAGAAGAGAAAGCCAACAAAGGCAAAACTAGAGCGCGTCTATTTCAAGTTCTTTCGGATACGCCCCTATGTAAAAGCTCAATGTCTTGTAGTGATTGAGCGGAGACAGAAGTCTCGTGTTCACCCATTGTGTAAAAAGTCAAGTTTGACGCGACGCGGGCGACACGGCGTGGGGTGTCACGTGGAATGCTCAAAGTTCAGCGAGTGCAGAGGTTTAAGTAGTTTGGCAAAATGAAGAAAACATGCAAATACTTCAACATCTTTAACAATTCTCTAAATCGCACTCTGGACTCCAGCAACCCTTCCGATAAATAGAAAAGATTCCAAAAATTACCCTTCAATCTCAAATGATACAATACGGGGGGCTTCCGCTTGATATTATGATGCACGTTCTGGATTGTTACGTCTTTCGAGGCAACAAGTGGGGCGGCGCTCCATCATATCACCTGGCACGTTCTAGATCCGGCAAATTCCTTGGGATGCGATTGGTTTGTAAAGCCTGGTCCAAAGTCATCATACAGATGTATTTCCATACTATCAGCTTGGACTAGCCAATCTCGGCGGCGGTCGCCGCACTCATATAAACCACCTTCGGCTCTGGTTACTTGACAGTACAGAGTTGCATGTAAGATACATACAATTGACAAAGTGCGGCTGCAGTACGTGAACAACTGTAACCCCCGTGTGACAAATACTTTGACAACTTTACATCCGTGCACGCCCTATCTCGGTACTTGAATAACACACATGAATTCACTACAACCCGCTTTTATACACTTATCTATATTTCTAACACAGCAGCATTGAGGGAGAGGCGTTAGAGTAGAAATTTACATTGAACTGATGTGACTGCTTAATCCTCAGTTTTAGTATCTCAGTTTTGGTACCTTCTAGATCTCCACTATTGTCGCCGTTGTGGTGATCAATTTATGGGATCAATTAAAAAATTCACAATTACCAGTTTACCAGTTTATTAGCAGGATTCAGCAGGAAAGAAAATTCGAAATGGAGGTTTTTGATCAATTGAAGCTCTTGTAGGCTTATGTATTGGTCATTAGGTCAACATTACATCATTTTATTTCACATTATATATTAAGATCATTATAGTTTACTTACAAATTTATTACAAAAAGAAAGAAAGAAAAACATAAGAAAAATTCGAAATTATAGGTATAAAGGTTGGAAAATGGTTTTTAGGTTAGTAAAAATAAAGTTATGGGTATTATGAGGTTAGAATATGAAAGAACAACATTATATGATACTATGACAATTTTAATCTTCAAGGTTGATAAGTAGAAACAGAAGTTATTAGGAAAAAAGCACTTTTTCGAAGTTGGTAAACAAGAGGTACACGTGTAGTTTGGTTGTGTAATAGTGGTAGTGATGGAATTTAAGGTTGCCAAGAGGATTTTCCGGGATTTTTAAGGCTATAGATGATGATGTCATATTACATGAGCAAGAAAAAGATAGTAGTAGCTGTGAAAAGTGAAGAAAATGGGTGAAATTCGTGGAAAATAGAGGTTTTCAGCTAATTACATATGTCAAATGACGTCAGAATAGGTTGGTAGATGGCTCATTCAACGCAGAAGAGTGGATTACATAATGTACAAACTTTAAATCATTAGTAACGGAGGTGTGTGTAAAAAGTTATAAGGCAAATAAAGAATTGGTGTGAATCTCGAATTTACAGTCACAAGTCATATGTAACACTAAAAACCTTAACTTCACAACTCAATATCTTACTCATCACTCATCAGAAGTAGGTCATGTAGGTGTCAGAAATGATCAGTAACACGTGGGCTACAAGATGCACTTTAGTAATCAAAAATTGGAGCACATCTGAAAAAATTTGTAATCTCAAAAATTGGTTTTCAGCTAGTTTACAAGGAAAAAATCACCTGTATTCATCATAAGAAGTGCTGTACATCATATTATTGCGTCATTGATCACTTTTAGCTGTGAAAATTACATCATTTATTAGTAACAAAACCATTACATTGCGTCATCATAGGGTTTTTAGGGAATTTTGGGCGGATTTGATTGGTTTTGAGGCTGTTGACCATTGTAAAAGTTCTAGTACATTGTTATATATACTTTGAGAGGGTTTTGGGACTGTTGTTACCCTTTTTTTCTTTATCATTTACGCCATTATTATTTTGTTTATCATCAAAAAACTTATTTTAATAGTACCTGGTCACTTAAATACGCCCTTTATTACAGCTATAAAGAGAAATTTACTTTAGTTTTATAGTCATAAAGACTTATTGGGAATAATATCAATCAGATATTGCTTATTTCTTTAGTTATCAATTGGGAATAACACTATAGCAGTGTTGATAGTAATACAAAGTGTGCTTTTGAAGTTAAAATTACGTGTGAAGTTATATTTCTCTGGTGCCTTATCAGTACTCAATACAACAGAGCTCTTTCTGATTGTGTTGTTTTAGAAGAGCAGTCCTTAGACAACTTCTACTAGTCATTTTATTAGTAGATTATCCTCTTCCAGCTCTGTATAACCCTTGTTGGGTTATAAGTTCTACACCGTTCCCCCTGAATACTTGATAAGTCCTGGTGTCGTTGACATTCAAAGCTATTAATTTACTAAGGTTGGCAGTCAAATACCTAGAGTTTTTCACAGCGACTTACATTCAAGACAGTTGCTCCACTTTGTGCACACCGCTCCCTAACCTATCTAATAAGTTCTGTTTGCGTTTGATGTCAAGCTTTAGTTAGGCTTTGCCAATAGTACAACATATTTGGCGGTATGACTTACCAGCAATCCAGTGTGATCCAACCTATGCTCGAAATGACATTGAATACCGCAGTCTTGAAAGAATTTTTCGAGCCTGGGATCCGAGTGATCCTTTCTGGATGGTGTTGTAAAAACCATGTGTTTTAAATTGAGCTTATTCCGAGAAGCAAATCCACCGATTTGTTCCAACTCTATATGCCAATGACTCTTCGTCCCGCGGTAGTTGATGACCAAAATTTCTATATTGCGGAAGAATGGCCATTTTAACCAAGCTGGTGGTTCACTCCGCGCAAATGTCCCAGTACGTATTAACCGTAACTTTGGGAAAGATGTGAATCGCAACCCTTCAGGAATGAGATGCGGGATCGTATTGACAAAGAGCCCCTCCAGAGTGTTCTTCGACGCTAAAATCATTTCCGGGGCTTCACGCCGATAGAATGACGGTGAAAATTCCAGAAGTCGAATTGCTCTACCTTCTGAATTACAAAAGCTGTTTATGGCTGGAAGATTGTACGGGTGAGCGGTTACCCAGAGATGGATGAGATTTGGTAGGGCGCCAGCATCTACTTCCAATGATTCTAAATCTAGTAGTCTGAGAGATAATAATTCTAGTTTGGTTGCATTATTTAAGACAGCAATCAACGATTGATGGTTATTTCCAATGTATCGAACGTTTGTCCCTTCAATGATTAAAGTCGTCAACTTTTTGATTTGCTTCATAGCGATTACTAAAGAATCTGAAAATCCAACCGAACCGGCGAAGTTAAACTTGAGCTCCTCCAAATTTCTACCACATAAAATAATAATGTCACTTGCATCGTGCATAGGAATCCAACTCGATCCACGAACAACACATCCATATTCATGTTGTCGGCTGCAGTCTTCCGATAGATCCCAAAGAGCTTGTCCTTCGATACCAGGATGTCGAAAAATGAGCTGATATAAATAAAGGCGACGTAAGTTCGAGAAGGGGGAAAAACCGTAACTGGTCTGCCACATTTTCATGAAATACCCCTCTACCCAAGGAGTTCTCAAAAACAAAGAGCGATAAATGACAGGTTGAACTGCCATTGCCCAAACTTTGTTAACAAGACGTAGCTTAAGTAGGTCGATGATCGATGTATGCTCTAGGAATGATTTGTCCGCGCTGTTCGAAGCAACTCCCGCAATGCAAGGCATCGTTTGATAAAGTTGACTAATGATACATTCTACTATTTCTATTGGAAGCTTGTTTGACGTAGACATTATGCCTTATGATTTGATCTCTGTAGAACGCAAAAGTAATCTGGCAGGTAATCAATCCACTAAAGTTGAGTATATGTGATAACATTCACTCAGACGAAGCCATAAGTGATACCTGGGATCCACGGTAAGTGCACTTCACCTTAAATATCTACATACGTTCATAAGAATTCCTTGTGTATTCCTCGCTTATTCCGGACATCGGATTATGCTCGGAAGCGTAAAACCATGTCCTGAAATGATCCGTCCGTACTCAAAACTCTCGCTCCTACAGACTCAGCATATTCAAAGTATACACCATGGTAGTATGAAATTTCGGTGTTGCCTTTAAGATATCTTGCTACCCAAAGTTCTGACGGTGCTTTATATATTCGACGTGGTATCTTTTCCAGGAATACTACTAACTGTACTTTCCTCTATATCTACTATAAGTTTGTATGCTGTAGATTTTATAGTATGCTTCGATACGCTTGTTGGGAGAGCGTAACAAAGATTTACGTTGAATTCTAATTGCCTGATCATTTCAGCAACGGCAATAGGGGTGCCTTCGCCAAAACTTGCTGAATAGGTAGCCATTTACGAGTAGACATTGCAAGTGTGGGCAGCATACTATGTTACTCCGCGAAAGTTAATGAAACTCTTCTAGTTAGGCTTTGACACGATGAGTCCATTTCTCATTTTACATTATACAGCAGAGTGTGCAGTCTACGTTTTATTGCTCAAAAAGTTGTGACTTAGGCGACCAAAACACATATTTCTCTTATTTTTCCATACTGGGCGAACGGCAATTTGTTTTGAGTAGTACAATAAACAATGGAATTTATTTCATACGACACATTTGCATAGTAAGAGGAATAGAGATGATTTTAAGTACTTCAAAACTAAGCACAAGAAAAAACGAAAATGACACTATTACTTGAAGTTACCGTCAGCTTGCGCCAAGAACGCATAATCTACGGCCCGCTGCATAGACCAAAAAATTAACTTCCTCGTCGCATGTATCTATGCTCGACAGCAGTGCCATAAGCTTCCTCTTGATCAATATTACCCTAACTTTATCTACGAAAACATGCACTGTATTTCCACATTATGATGACAGGCGGTTTCATCAGTACGCGGATATTGTTGCCACCGATTAGCTAGCTAAAATCATTTTATCAACTCACAATCTCACGTATGCATCTTCAATGGCTCCGCTTTGTGCATTAACTGCTGTCTTCGCACTCGGATCTCTCACTGCCCTTAAGGTATTTAACCGATTCCTAACAAAGTAAAGGACATGTGTGTCAGTAGCACACTCTTCGTTCCCGGGTGGGCATGGACAAATCACTCACCAATACCTGAATGTGCCCCAGTTCGCTTTCAAAAGTGCATATAATTCCATGGTGCCTGAACAACTCTATTAACCTTTCATCTTTTATTACTTTCCCTTTCCCAGTTACGAAGATAAAACGTTTTAAATTCAAAGGCATTCTCAAATCCCCGAACTCTTCTAGTAATTTCCTCCAGTAGGTATTACCCTTATCATAAGAGGTAATGAAAATGTTGACCGCCTCGAAAAAAGGCCAGCCAAACCATGCTGGTTGATGAAAGGAAGGGCTGATGTGCACATTCCTGAAGATTCGAAGCTTCGGGAATCGCATAAAACGGAGCTCATCTGGTAATCGGTCAGGCATTCTATCAATAAATAGCCCCTCAAGTGTACTCCTCATTGCTCTGATCATTGCCTCTGAATCCCCCACATAGCTTGTTGGACTAAATTCTAATAGTTTAATTCGTCTTCCAGGCGCTTGACAAAAGTCGTTGATTGCGTTGAGATTCTCGCAATGCAATGCCACCCAGAAATGCACCAATTGAGGCAAGGCTCCGTCCCTGACTGCCAATGAACCCAACGTACTAAATTTCAGTGATAGTGATTCTAGTAGATCGGTATGGTTCAGTATTTCAATCAAGGAGTCGGCATTGTTCATGATGTTATGTCGTTCGTCACCTTCGATAGAGAAAGATTTCAAACTGCTGATAGCTTGAATTGCGAGGACTAAGTCGTCTGAGAAACCAACAGTGCCAGTGAATCCAATTTTTAGGTCAGTCAAGCTCGAGCTACACAGAAGGATGAGTTTCGTAGCATCATTCATGGACATCGACTTAGTATTATAGTGTTCATATTCTGATTCAAGTTTCTTAAACAGATGATCCATGGTGCCTTCGTAGAAACTTTCTGATCCGAGGCTTGGTAGGTACATGACGCGGTCCAAAGCTAGTCGTCGAAGGTGGTGATGGGACAAACTTGACATAATTACACCTTTACTCCACATACCGCTTATGTAAGCCTGCGCCCAAGGTGATTGTAAACGCAAGGCCTGATATACGACTGGTGGGATGGCTGCAGCCCAAGATTTTCCAAGTACACGCAAGCTGAGCAACTCCTTAACGGATGTTCGGTGTAGAAATGGATTATCGGCGCTGTTGGAATCGTTAATACCCATATGAAAGGCTTTTTCGGCGCAATATTTTATGATCAAGGTCACTATTTCGATTGGGATGGTCGAAGCTGGATTCATTTTTGTAAGTAATAACGGGTGCAAGAACGAGATCAACTGTGAGTTACCTTCGCTTTCACCTTATGCCATACGTTCTGGACCTAATAGTGCTCCAGTTCCCCGAGTAATTAGGTGTTGCAGTCGCGTAAATCAAATGATTTGGGTCTCACCCTCAATTAGCTCAAGAGGCAACGGCACTCAAACATTGTGGAGCCGCGGTATCACTCACGTCAAACCATCGACTCTACCGAAGTTGCAAATAATGAAGCCACTCGGCGAAGATTGCCATTCTCAAAGTGGGAGTTTTCCTTTCCGTTCTCCTTTCCGTTGTATCTTAGAGCCTGCAAAGCAAGGCATTGTTGCGGGAGAAGTCCCACGTCGGGAGCTTCGTCTGCAAAAGTTTAAGTACACCATTATTGCACTTTGCAAGCCAAAGTTGTATAACCCCCTAAGGCTCAAGCGCGTCGGCGCAATAGAAAAAGCCAAGTGCCATACTTTGCGGTTGTGTCAATAACGCCGAATAGATAAAGTAGAATTACAAGTGTGATGGGCAGTAGCAAAACCAAATATAATTAATAAAGACCAAGAACACAAATTTGTGGAGTAACCTACTAAGTCAAATCAGGCTAAGACACTTATACAAAACGCGATACATGATTTTCGAAATTTCAGAGGTGAAAGTATTATTATGAGAACGGAAGTGTCAAACTCGGTACGCGGATCTCACCTATCCAACACTAACTGTAACGAAAGTTACCGTACTGGATGTGGTGCTTTGCTGCCGTGCTCTACAACTTGCCGAACTATAACCCAAATGTCTCGGCTGAACATTAACTCACTCACAATTCATAAATCCCAACCTTCTTTTTCATCACCGCCGTGCTTCAATATTCCAATACTCTCAATTTCTTCGAATTAACTAATTCTATACAAATATGGATCTTCCTTCTACAGCTCCATCCTTCGGCCTACATTGGGAATCCACAGACTCAGCATTGTCATACTGTCGGATTTGAAACAATCAACACTCACACTTTTCCACAGCAAGAGCCGTGACTATCAGACCACGTATTCATCTTTGAGACTATCTTCAATTGCATGTTTTGCTCCTTCTCTATCGGGACCTTTACTCCCAAGCTTATCAATTAACTCCTGTTGAAAAGCGAAAAGTCAGTCAAGCCTTGGCTGTTTGTGCAATTCTCAAGAGCGTTACACATTACTTACCAATATGTCGTAACAATCCATTTTGTTCCTAAAGTGACATTCAATATCTTGATCTTTGAGGATTGGAAATAATCCATCATCCTCAAATGTCCCTCCTTCTTCAATTATAAAAACAAAGTGTTTTAACTTAGGTGGCAGATGAAATTGCTTGTCCTCCTTCAATATCTTGGCCCAAAAATAACTATTTCTATTGTAAGACGTAATGAATATTTCCACGTTTTCAAATAAAGTCCATTCACACCAACCCGGATAATTAAGTATTCCATCCATGTAAGTATTTCTTACCAATTGGAGCTTTGGTAGAGCGGACATGCGTAGATCGGGAGGAATGTGATCTGGAAATCGGTCAATGAACAGCGCTTCTAATGAATATCTAAGGGCGAGAATCATAGCTTTGGAATTCTCTACATAATAAGGCGGCATAAATTCTAGTATTCTGATTGACCTTCGCTTGATTTGACAAAAATTAGTAGTGGCCTCTCGATTTTTTGGGTGACACGCTACCCAAAGATGCTTCAAGTTCGGTAGAGCACCACGATTTACGTTTAAAGAGTTCAAAGTACTGAAGTTCAGTGACAGAGACTCGAGTGTTTCAGCGTTGTTTAATACTGCAATCAAAGAGTCTGAGTCGTTTTTGGTGTTGTGAGATTTGTCGCCCTCAATTAACAGAGTTTTTAAGTTTTTGACACTTCTGATGGCGAGTACGAATTCGTTCGGAAAACCAACTGACGAAGTGAACATGATTTTAAGATGGGTCAAATTTAAGCTGCACAATTTGACAATGCTGGCCGTGTCACGAATAAAGATAGATTTTGTTTCGAAGTGTTGGTACTCTACATCAAGTTCCTTGAGCCGTGGATCTTGGATGCGATCATAGAAGGACACAGGGCCAGTATTGGCTTGATGCATAACCTGATTAAGAGCCAAGTAACGAAGATTCGTGAAGCTTGAGACTACTGAACATTCTGTCCACCTCTTGATTGGATGACTACGTACGTAGGGAAACTCTAATTGCAGCGAATTGTATACAATACTCTGGATGGTATTGGCCCAAGAGCGCCCTAGCAACCCCAATTTTAGTAGACTCACAACGGATACTTGAGTTAAAAATTTGACCTCAGCACTGTTGTATTCGTCATCTTGTATATATGCCGCCTTATCACAGAAATGGAATATGATTAATTGAATTATTTCTATTGGAAGTGAAGTTGTCGGAGGCATATTGGTTATGTCGCGGCAAGAGAGTAAAGGTTTTGAAGAGGTACTTCTTTGCGAAAAATGTGCTCACAATTGTCGATTTTTAACGAGGAACTCGAGGCTGATAAGATAAGATTGTTTTTAGGCTTTTCAGTGATGTAGCAGATTATACGATGACAAAGACTTAGCGTTCACAAAAATCAATTTCAGATTGCATCAAATGATTTGTAGCACTTTGTTTTTCTCGAGTAACTGCTCTTCAACATGTCCGATAGGTAAAATGGATACAAATACAGCTAACGCTTAAAAGCCTTCTACTAACTTATGTGGAACAGTTATTCTTAGCTAAACACATATTGAAAAAGATACGAATGATGTGGGAATCGAAAATTATAAGCTAACTCGGCACGAATCAAAATTGCAATGTGTGTTCAGTGTTGATATATTGACCACGTGATCTCGGGCATACCTAATCCCGAAAATTGCTTTTCTTCACTACAACATGCTATGAAATCATTTTAGCAGGCAAATTCGCCAGCCTTTGACAATATACAGGGACATTCTAATCGTTTCCACCGATGCATTGGACAAAAAAGCAATAATAAACATACTATGTCGGTTATTGCATTTAATTGGTTTTTATTATATCAGGAATCCTTCACAAAGTTTTACTCGACACATTCTGGTCATTTAGGATACGTTAAAATTTATTACGGTGACTTGTATTAATATAGTGACCCTTAACATAAACATTTATTTTGATGGACACGAGTACCAAGGGAGAAAAACATGGCAATGACTTCTATTGCCGTTGTATAATATCTACTTCCGAGCGTCATCTACTTTTGCAATTTGAAATTCATCCGCAGGATCCTGTTTTACAAACAAATACTGTCAGTTAATATTTGCCAGGTCCTGCATGATTACCCAATTAGGATCGCGGCGTCGATGTTCAAGTCCCATTGGTCAGATAGATTGCTCCGCTAAGGAATCCTGGAGATCAGGATAAATACTGGAAATGTACATTAGTTGTCCGAAAGAAAGCCGACAGAGGTGGCTGATATCTGATCCAATCATATCACTTTGCCACATCTTCATAACATAGCAGTAGTTAACAGAAGGAGTTCTTAAAAACAATGATGTATACGGATATTTCGGTATAACAGCTGCCCATGATTTTGAGATTAGTCGCATAGCAAGCAGCCTTTTAATGGATGCTGGAGTCAGAAAACGCTTATCCCCGCCATTCGGTGGATTATTAGGTATGAATTCGGAATGGCCAAGTAAGCAGCTTATAATTTTCTCTATGATTTCGACTGGCAGGTTAGAAGACAATGGCATTTCTTGTTGTGATACTTTGACTTCGGGAAATAAAATATTTGCCGAATCTAGACTGTTGAGTTATCTTATTTTTTTGAATGGGTGTCTAAGGCTTAGAGTTTGCTGAGTATAGACGTCGTACTCTAACTTAATGTGCTCGATAATCTTTGCAAAGATGGTTGGTACTCCAGTGTGACTATTGGAAGATCAAGGTCTGCTTCACGCGATGATATTGTAGTATGGTCATATAGATCGTCATTTGCAGCTATGTAGTAAATTTTATACAGAGTATGGTTTTGCTTTTGAGGTGCGTACTAATCTTGTGTGAATGGTAGAGGCACAAACTTGCGAACCCAGAAAACTCCTTTCTCTGTGTTCGGGTTAGACGTACTTCGATATACAGGCCTTGCTATTTGTTTCCAGACTTCAGAAACTGGCACGGACAAATTCTACGTATTCCAAATTGTAAGCCTGATTCTCAGGAATCCAACATGACTACTTACCGGCAAGCTAAAGATCTAGAATTATCACCTACGGGCATGAAGCTTTGGGAGAAATAGGCAGATGGATTTACAAATATTCTCGAATGCCAACACATATAAAACCAAATAGGAAGGCAATCATGTACCGATACCAAGAAACATATGGTCGATAACTAAGTGAAGCGCGCCAGTGTGATAGTGTAAAAAATTAACATCAGTGATTTGAATAATAGCGCTCCTTCTATATTTAGTTGTGTAGTGTAAAGTGATAAGTTTTGACATCAAGAACTTGAGTCTCGAGCTTCTAATTGCCCCATTGATCTTCAAGAGATAAAATCGTTATTCATCATGGGACATACTATTCTTCAAAGCAGACCCAAATGCCCATGTACATAAATTCATCTATTTTGAGACCGGGCTGGGGCACTACGGATTGTACTGCCATATTCACGGGCTGTGCTATTTAATTAGGATTTTTATACGCGTTCAATCAAGGATTGTAACTGGGCACTCACTTTAATGGTTGTTTTTACTGCCAAGATCCTAAACATTCAGTACAGGGTGAAAAACAATGTTGTCTGTAGCGGGCTCATCCAATTCTGATGTAACACAAACACTAACATTAGCTGCATTTGTGCATCGCGATAATGCCACGTACAGTTGGCCATGGGAAAAGACCGGCTTGGGTAACAACACCGTCACTCGTTCAAGGCTCTGTCCTTGGCTCTTATTGATAGTCATGCAAAACGCTGGCATCACTGGAAATTGATAACGCGTAAATGGGATTGGACAGTCTTCGTTCCCCTCATGCTTCAATTTTATTTTTGGCAAACTGATAACGGTCCCTTTCAAGTCTCCAGTTAAGATTCGGCATTGCAATGCATGCGGTTGGTAGTCCGTGACTAAGAGCCGTGTTCCATTGCAAAGCCCATTGGTCAAGCTCAAATTTCGTAGCACCATGACGGCTGCACCAACTTTAAGCTTGATCCTATGATGCGGGAATCCAGGGAAATTAAAAGTGTTCAATACATCCGCTGGAATTGGATCGATGTATGCCTCGTCCATGATATCAATTGACTTCGAGGTGTACTCTTGGTCTGGCAAAGACGCCATTATAGAATCGTTCATATAATTTACCGTGACGTTTAATGGAGTTATAATACATCGGTTGGAGTAAAATTCGGTCAAATCGGGCCATTTCTTGTGTAAAATCATGTCGCGCACGCTTCCATAATCGGTGTGGAGTAATTGTGGGTCACACATAGCGGGTGGCCTTATAATCGAAATGTTGCAGTATCGCAATTGAGTCCTGGCTGTGTGAGTAGTCTGGAGTTTTCCAGACCCAAGGTCCAACAACCATCTTGCAAAATTTAAGTTTGCTGGGTCGGGATTATTACTTAATCCGCCGAGTCAAATATTTGTTGTCAGTGCAAATCGATGTATTGAATCCCAGAGGTAAGATGCTTTCAGGGTTGCTTGCGCCTGTTGCATTAAGTTTCCTCTCCGAACAATTGGTAATGTTTGGCGGAAATCCCCTGCAAATAGTACTATTTTCCCTCCAAACGGTAAATCGACGCCAGTCAGATCCCGAATAGTACGGTCAACAGATTCAATGGCATACTTGTGTTGCATCGCAACCTCGTCCCATACAATAAATCGAGTGGATATGACCTTATGCCCACCGTCATGTAACTCTATTCCGCATGATGAATCGTCATGCACTGGAATAGGAATCTTGAAGGCATTGTGTGCCGTGCGCCCATTTAAGAGTAATAATGATGCAATGCCAGCAGCGGAGACTGCTTCGAAGGGGATCTGGTTGGCATTGCAAAAATGAAGGATACAGTTCAATACAAAGGTCTTTCCCGTGCCACCCGGACCGTCTAAAAATGCTAAGTATGGTGTATTGTTGACTATAGCTTCGCAAACGTTGAATACAACGGCTGTCTGTTCATGGGTCATAACTCGCAACATCGCGGTGTATTTCGTAGCACTTTCTTCCGGTGTGACCGCATTAGTTCGAGTTGTCTGGCTGTTGTCTGGTAGTCCCAATTCATTCAATAATTGTTGGTTTACATCCTGCATATCAACATTTGCTAAGTTGGTATCCATCGCAATCAGTACTTTTTCTAATAGATACAGACCATAGTTCTGTATTTTCAGTTCAGTTGGTCGGGCTCGGGGATTAAGACGTCTAATAGCGTATGCACAATCATCAGTTAGATCATGAATGTGATCCGCCCATAAACGGCGAGGCTCTGCTGGAGAGCTATGAATTAAAATGATTGCAAGCATATGTCGTAATTGTTTCCCGGTCTTCCAAGTGGCGGCTTCGGTCAGAGATTCATGGTAGTGTCGATCATCTAACAGGAGTCCTAATCTGCTTGCCGCCTCGCGAAAACTATTGAGTTGCAAACCGTCAATCGTGCGTAAATCATTGAAAGATTGTGGGCCGCGGATGTGAGACAATAGTAAGCGTAGGTAATAAACCTCGCCTCGTTTGATGTTGGCGAAGTATACCCGCCCAATTGACATAAGGCTGTTGCGTCGGGGTTGTAAACGCTTGGTCCTCTCGTTCCATGTAAAAAATCTCGGAACCTCTTGATACCTTAGAGAACGGATTGTCTGGTTCGAACCTCGAAGCGGTGCGTTTTCTCTGCAGAGTCGAAAATACTCCGTTAGGGTAGTCCGCTCGGCCCTCCCGGTGGTGATGGCTTGGCGTAGACCGGCTTCATCTAAGAAGTAAATTGTCTGTTGTCCTTCCAGGTGTAGACTCAAACGTTGAATTGCAGGGTACCTGCCAGATAATTCAAATTTTAGCAATCGCCAAATGGCTGCAGGATAAAAGGAGTCAGTTCTTCACTGTACAGAAAAAAGTTTGTTGTGAAGAACAATTTCACCTTCTGTTGCCGACAGGAATCGAGCATTTACATAAGCCAAGATTTCATCGTTGTTTGGATCATCAACTGTCGCCATGGTCCTATCATGGCCTTTGAGAATATATTTAAACAGATATTTAATAGCTCTGATGCTAGCTGCTACCTCTACATTTATGTGACAGCCATATTTTAAAGTCAAAAAACGATTATACGGGACGACGTTCCGGTTGTCGTAGCGAATATGACCTTTGGTGAAATGCCTTCCATTGTCAGGTCTTTTGTACGTTGGATAAGCATCTTCAGCCAATTCAGTAACTTGGCAGAATGGACGCGGGTAGCCTAGCCGGCACTCGGAACCTGTCCAGCATTTGTATTGTTCGCATGGGCCATGTAACATGAATTTAGTAACTAATTCATATAAATCATTCTCTGTTTCGGGATCCGGAAGTTGAGCCATAATCAAGCAGTCTATATGTTCCGGTCTCGTCGGTTTGTGTGCTGGGTCGAGAAAGAGGATTAAGTGAACATGGGGAAACCCCCGCTTTTGGAATTCAACAGTGTAAACATAAGCGACACATTTGCCGAGCCGTTCTTGTTTGGTTACATCCTCGAGTAATGAGTGAAATTTCATATGGAAGACTCGTGCAACTAAATCCGGACGGTCTTCGGCAGTTTGACCAACCAGCAAAGCGTCTGTAATCTCTTGCCATTGGGGGTTGGCAGTCATGGTGATAAAGAGGCTTGGGTGGCCAAATTCGGCCACCAAGCTCATCGCATCTTGATACAGCTGCTGCATGTGCCTTGGGCTACCGATAAATGTTGAAGGCAATACGATTCGTCGACCAACTACCTCGTCATCCATCTCATTACCCAAAGCCTCGACTGCGCCGCTGTAAAGCTCTGCTCAAAGCTCCCTCTGGTGAAATCTGATGAATTGCAGCCTTGAATGTTCCACGCAGACGTACATGTCGACTGCAAATTCTTGGAAGAGACGTCCGGCTGCCAGTATGATTGAGAAGTTCGCACGTTGAAACAGGAGATAAGCGAACCATTCTAGGTTGGTAACTATCCCTTCAGGTCCTGATGGCGTTCATGGCAGTAAGCTTAAGTTCAACCTAGCGGTACTACACTCAACAGATTACTCACGCTCTTCGGTTGGGTTGCGGAAGTTTTCGTGCCACATTTGTGAGCCATAAGGGAATAGTAGAGGATAGCGTAAAGCGAAGTAGGCAGTATGAAGTTCGGATATCCGCTGCTTTTCCCCAGTCTGGTGCTCTAAGATGATATCCCTGCTACGGGCTCCAATTTCTCCATCACCTTCAATTATAGCAGCCACTTCGTTAGCCGTTGGAAGATTGTAACGCCGATGATCCGTACCAGCTGCGCTTATAGTATTGATCCGAAGGCGTCTTGTATCTCCGGCGTTGCATATAGCGGCAGCTGTGCGGAAAACATTGGTATACGGGTTGTGAAGGTCCATAAATTGCTGGAATAGCAGTAAGATTTGTGGATTGAGGGAGTTGTTGAAGTGGGAGTTTCGTGTTTGAACTTCGGCTTCTCCGCCCCCACCATACACAAATATTTGAGCGAAGCCAGGGTGATTGCCCGGTAGGGGCATGAGGGACCCGATCCTGTGAGATAATTGCCCTGAAATTCTAAAGGTGTAGACGCCGCGCGGTCCTTGTACAGATCGGTCGATGTTAGCTCCAAGGGAAGTGAATGACATGGCATTATTATACTTTCTAATCAGGGATCAAAACTGTACGCAAACTGGAGGAAACATTAATTGATGTGGCTTCTCCAAGTTCTCCGAACAGCTTACCAGGATTTAGACTTGTTAAAAGAGCATGATAGAAGGGAGGCACATCCTGGCCCACGTCTTGTGCAAAATACCGTATTGGCAACTCGATTGCACCATGTTGGCAGCAGTTTCCGTACGTGCTATGTAATAGGTTCTTATCTTTTACACGTCTCTCAGCCAACCATCGAAATGCTCCACATTTTGAGCATTGGTCTATTGGTAAACCAACGTTATGAGGAATCTCGCCAGAAAAACGAGCACGTAGATTGATCTCGTGGCCCAGTGGTTCAGAAGCAATTGCCGGACCTTTCCTCACACGATAAATAGGCATGGTTAAGAGGCGAGATTCAGACCCAATAGTCGAGTCTGTCGAGTGGTGAGCACCGCAAGACTTCCTTGTAAGCCGTTCCAAACAACAGCGTCCTTAACCAGGGAGTTTATTGAGAAATAATTTGTCGAGAGTTGCACCAGGAGTTAGTTAAAGTTGTAGTGCTTGTCACGAAGAGTAGATGTAGATGTACAGAGACTTCGAATTGAATGAGGAGTCGGTAATGTAATGCAGCATAAGCAATGCTCTGATAATTTTGGCTTGGCTTAGTGTAAGGAGGGTTGTAAGGTGATTCTTCTGGATTACTCGGTGCCGCGATTGAAGTATTCTAATGACCTGTTTGTGCCAGTATCATCTCGCAAGGCAATGTAAAGGGAGGGCCGTTGCTAATAGTCGGAGGCCGCGGAAATCCACAATGTGACATCACCAGTTTCAAAACATCACCAGTTCTAAGGTGATGCAAACCGTACGATTCAACGACAGGCAACTCAAGGTTGATCTACTACATCCTATTGGCTTTAGGGAATTCGGTTGAGTACAGCGTCAAATGCGACTGTCGCGTCACGGTCACTTGCATTTGGCGTGACATTCGAGCGAAGGGCTCCTTGGGAGTAGTGCGATTGGAGTTCGAATGAAATTAGGTGCTGAGGCACCATTTCGTACTGTTCTCTCTGAGTCAGAGGTACGTGCTTCAGCTTGGAATGTCGTACGTCCACATTTAAAAACCTCCCGAGGCAATAGATAAATGTCCAAGAGGGATATAATGTCTTGAAGTCGTAGGGAGATAGTGTCTTCATGTTGAACGAGTAAATAAACCAACAGGGCTTTGTTGAGGGAAGTAAGTGTCCTACTTGGGAGACATGAGTTGTGTTGGGTGGGAGACTTTATACAGGTTTTTGCCAGTGCAAAGGTTCGGCCGTTGAAATATCCACCCGACTACGTTGGGCCCTCATGTAATGCACCCGAGAATACTTGATGTAAAACTCGAGCATATCATGCGGTGCAGTAGGAGCGATCATATCGTGATTACGGCTACAATTTAGCCAGGCAATATAAAAGTTGCTCGTGCGTATGGGACAACACCGTGTGTGCGACTTGGGACGTCAAGGAACAATTAAACAACAAAAATATATTTGGAAGCGGTCACAAGATTTCAAAAAAAAGGAATAACACATGTTGTTTGCCAATATGTGACAAACAGAAAATATGACAAGTGTACATAGTTCGCTCTGCGTGAAGAAGTCAGCGCAACAATGAAAACAATAACGGGGCAGTGGCAAAGTTTAGGAAAACAAATGACGATTTTTTTGGCAGGCGTGATAGCTAAGAATGACAACATAAGATGTAGAGATTTGGCTCTAGATTGCGGCGTTAGCAAAACAATCGAAAAGTTTTGAATGCAGCTTTAGGAGAATAGGGCCAAGGATGTGTACCTGTACGTGTAGAAGAGAGGCACCGGGATGTCAGATGTTGCATGAAACGATAAGACGGTACAACTTTGGGATTTTTGGTTTTTCTCAGGTGCTAAAGCAAGTTGTGAAAGTAACGCACCGTTTTCGAATTATCATATTTGCTCAGTTAAGTCGAGTGTCTTGCCCTTCTTCCCGACCCGCTTTGGTTGAGCACGGCTTCTTTTCTTGCCAAGGAGACTCGGAGCTGGGTCAGAAATAGCAGTTTCAGATGAGTCACGGGATGACCCTGGTGTTGGTCTGGATGAAGCTGAGGATAAGGACGAAGGCCCAGGTTCGGTGGAATTAAGTTCAAGACTGGGAGTAGATACTGGATTGGTAAACATAACTGGGGACTTGGAGGTGCCATTGAGGGGTGCTGGCACAAATCTGGCGCAGATGAAAAGTCAGTTGGGAGAAGTTATTCATCAGTAACGATAGCTTACTTGGCAGGTCTCTTGGTTGACACTTTAGGCTTAATGTCTTCGCTATTGTCAGAATCGGATTTCGTTCCAACTTCGTACTCCTTGTTGCCGTTGGTTGGCGATACCTTGCTCGCCTGTGAAGTTGACAGTCAGATAGTGGCGGGAGTAAGTAGTAGAAAGAGAGAGATTTACAACTACTATGTATAAAAAATTGACTTCGTCAAAGTCTTTAAGAAAACCGTGAAATTGATATTCGCGGCCGACCCTCAAAATCTTTGGGGTACCTGCTAAGTTGCGAGTAGGGGGAATACGATATTGGACTTTGAACTGTTTTGCTATTTTGGACTATCAGAAGAATAAGTTAGCTAAAAAGTTCTGGTTGAGGAAGGAATTGAGCGTACAGTTGGATGGTAGTCGGAATGGAGGACAGTGACAACAGTAACAATCTTCTCGCCATCAGCAGGGTTTGGCAGTAAGTTAGTGGTCCTAGGCTTGGGAATTTGATTGGTGGCCAGGACAATTCCAACTCCTGTCACCCCGATTGAATCAACAGTGTCCCCAGCAAAAGTGTCAACAGGTCTGACTAAGATTCTGTCGGATGCTTCGAAAAATAACATGTCATCGGTAGTCTTATCCGTGTTGGAGGGGAAAAATGAGCCTCTCAGGAAGTAAATAGTGTTAGACTCTAATCTAAACTGAGCGTTGCTAAAACCCTTTGCTTGGATCTCGTAAGTCATTGGGCGAGTGCGATGAGCGCCACCAGCTCCAATGAGAACTGAGTAGGTTTGGTACTCCGATCTCCAGCCGTTTTCTGGGGAAGTCTGCAGTGATTGAATGAGGATAAGTTATCGCAAAGAAAATTAATGAATTGAAGAAGTCGCGAACCTTCTTCTCGACTTCGAAGTTGCCGGTAAGGTACAAACCATGGGTTGTGGATTCAGTGGGGTCAGCCATGTCGATCGGGGAGCCTACCTGTTGCACTCAGCAAATAACAAAGTAGTATTAAGGTACTGATGGTAGACGTTCAAAATTTGGTTATTAGAGAAGGGGGTAGGAAAACGTAAAAAGACTCGCCAAGGCGGTAAGAAGTTAGAGTGGAAGGTGGTTGGGCTAAGCTTCGGATTCTGAACTGGGTACAAACAATGAGACAGATCTCAATAAGAACGGCTTATGATTTGGGAAGCAATGAGTATAGGTGTAGTATCATACCGAATTGCGTGTCCTTGCTATAATTGTGAGATGCGGTGGGATTTTACGATTGGGACTACATTGCGATGAATAGCTGGCTTATAAAGGGGAGAATGATTGGTATGCGACGAGTATGACGTCGGATGAGACATGACTTTAGGGTTCGAAGGGCGTTAGCAATATGAAGTGTGATTGGGTATTTGGTTAGGATGATTGCTGGTAGCTCAAGATCGTCAATCTTTTTCGATCATCCACCGTTCTCGGTGGAAGGTTGATTGTCCAGGGTAGAATTTTGGTTTGACTGATGTTGGTAGGTCAGTCTTGAGTCGGTTCTCCGTGATTAGTAACTATGTTTGGCTAGTTGCGGATACTGGTTTGAAGTATGGAAGGGGTGTAAGCCTATCTCATGATAGCTGCTGGTACCCTTGACAAATATGTAAAAGGGGAAGTTTGGTCGCCGTGGAAATTAGGATATAAATTAGTGATAGTTGAAGGAAGAAGAATTAGGGCGGAATTCATGTTATTGTACGAATTGTTAGTGAGTTGTGAGGGTTCGGCAGACTGAGATTTTCAAAGTGAACGGAGTTCCGGCGATGATTTGGAACGGGGGTTGGATGCAACTCATGTCTTTGAATATGTGAATAGTTAGGGTTCCAGTAAATACTGGGTGGCCAGCTACAAAGTATGATTCAATGGAGGCGAGTTGATATATTGATTGTGTTGCTGAAGGGGATAAGGAATATCGGGTAGGCGGGTGGTTTGGGAAATTTCGGGGGACCAATTTTAGTACATTGAGGGGGATACATCCTGGTATATCAGGGTAAATTAGGTGGTCGACTCCGTTTACGTTGGTTATCGATGTTGTTGGTTTCCGGAGAATGATTTGGAGAGGATTTCTCGCGAAGACTCCGTGATATGATGGGAAAAGGTTTAAAAGGCTTAAGTTGGCGCAGGTATGCATTGGGTCACAGGTGTAAACATGAGGATTGTAGAAATTCGGGTACCGAGTTGTGAGTAACCACAATCGGACCTTACCCAAGGGAAGACTGACGGATAATTATGGTCTCGAAATCGCGGGGCGGGTAGGTTGATGCGTAAGTTTTCAAATGATTGTGCTGACAGCCTGCGGTTGTTCAAACTCAGCCGACATTGAGGTACATTTAGTCTAGTTGTGATATTGTCTCCTTATACAATCCCTTGCACAGGTGGCAGTAAGTATCGAAAAAGGTAATGGTTGGCACGTGGTAGGGGTGCGTGGCTCTACTGGCAAGGTGTTCGTATGTAGATCACTCGGGGTACAATTCAAAAGAATTATAGTAAGAAGTCTATTCAACGGTTACACCACGTAAACAAAATAACAACCTATGGGGAAACCTCGGGTACATGGTGAAGAAAGATTGACGCCGGTCTGACAGAAAGCTTACAACTTGGATTTAGTTAGGGGGAGTAGTGGTCGATGGGCATTAAATCATGGGAATGTGAAGCAATTTTAATACAAAGTGGACATGAGGCAATCCGCGCCTTTGGTATTCAATTTTAACACCAAACATCAGGATAACCATGCAATGTATGTTGTAGTTGAATATGGGGAAGAAGAAGAGATGAAGACCTTCTCGACGATTTGGTTCTTGTCGCGCTAACAGGAGAAGAATGGAGTAAGTGTCTATATGTTAGAAACGGATTGAAATGGAGTAAGTAGGTAACCTACGGGTTTGCTGTAACACTCCGAGTGCATTGGAGTTCAATGCGTGAAGGAGCTCCGGGGGTGCGGTGATCTTTGATGTTGTGGAAAGTCTAGAGAAGAGCCAAGTGTTGAAATGTATATCAGTAAGTGATACCGATCTGAGGTAGACTGAACACTTACGACTCGAGGAGGGGTTCAAGGGTTTTAAGGGTTGAGGAATTAGTTGGGTGAATGGCTTGTTTTTGCAAAAGACCGTATTGGGAGTAGATGGGAGTGCACATAGGGTTGATTGAGGTGAAAAGTTCCATGGTTGGAAGATGATTCTTGTAGAAGGTGATCGTGTACCGCTGGGAACGTTGACCACGATTTTGGTTGATGACAAATGAGTAGATGAGATAGCAGGCACGGATCAAATCCAAGCGTGCGCTGTTTGATAGTATAATATCCATGGGCATCGTGGTGTAGTACATTATTAATGTGGAATACAAATTTTCTTTGTGGCAAAATCCGAGGGGACTTTAGTAGGTAAGAGTAATGCGAATTAACTTACGTAACCTGGGTTGTGTGATAGATATGAGGCAGATAGATAGGTGTTGGACTATGGCGTTGAGATGTAGGAGAAGGGTTCGAAACTAATGTAGTTTATTAATTGCGACTTTGAAAATTTCGTAATCCCCATGTAGAACCGAATTGCGATGCACACACAATGAGGTGAATTTCGTTGGGCATACGCGATTCGGGCGGAGAAGATTTTGAGATGATCATCGGGCGGAATTGGGTATAGTTGAAGTGGGTGAGATCCTAGTAGTCAATAGTCAAGTTGGTGGCGTAGGAAGCCTGTTTCGTATTGGCGATGTGTGCAAAGGAAGAAGCCGCGGGTATGAGGAAGACACCTAAGAGTTCTGGATGACGCTAAAGTGGTGGTGTGTCTATAGGTGGTCCGTGAGTATAAGTGCGTGTAGATATGGTTGTTACAAAGGGGGAGAGTGAAGCTACGTTGGCCAGCAGCGGAATGGGGAGTACAACCTTGGCCTATGGTGGAATAGGGAAAAAGAGGGTGATGGCCGATATAATGGGGATTCCGCGGTTGGGGTGAAAATGTGCATTGTCTTTGTCGGCCAAAACTCTTATAAAATTGGTAAGCGTGACAACTTGATTGAGAGCGGTCGGGGGGGTCCAAGGAAATGTCAAAAAGTATACCCGGCGTGTTGAATGATGGATGGGTATAGGTGTTGTTCAAATGGCTAACAAAGGATGGGAGGCATGGTCAGCCGCGATTCTTCCGCAAGCAATCTCGTGGCATGAACTTGCAAAGGGGGTCAGAGGGTCCGAAAAGGGTCAAATGTAAGCCCGGGGTTGTGGATAGCGTATGTGGATGTGGATTGAAGGTTGGCTAACAGACGACGGGATAGACGGATAACATGTGCATAGAGTAAGTGAGATAATGGAATATTGATCGGTCATCAGTATTTAGTGAAATATATATGAGAGATGGGTTCACCTCATGAGACGGGGAAACGGGCATACGGTTCATCTAAGGACACAAAAGGTAAGCAAATGGAGGAGATGTGGTATTCAGAGTTAGTAGTAAATATAGCGGAAAATTGAATAAACTAATTCATGGTTGAGGTTTAACTTGTAATGATAATCCCAAGCGCGCGAAATGTATCCTGGATAACTGGAGCCATGCTATGTATGACTCAATACTGTCATGTCCCGTTAGGGACTTGTCCATCCGCAAATTGTGGTATCTAGACCCACAAAGTGAAGATGGATGCAGATACAAAGGTGACTTTGGAATGAGAAACTCTGGTTTGGTTGTTTTTGACTGTTTTGTTGATGTAGATTGTAAAGAATCAGATCCAGTAGTACTATAGTAGTGGATCAGGCGGTACAACTAATCAAACTGCTCGGCCTCAATTTGAACATGTTGAAACTGGAATTCACTTCCTCGACCGGCTCCTCACCAGCCGTAGTCGAAGCTGTCAAGGCCCTCAAAAATCTGAAAACATTGCATCTCGCTTGGCGGGGTATTAGACGTGTCGCTAGACATGGCGAAAGAATATACCATTCGAATTTCTTGACTGATCTGTTGAATGCGACTCCCCAACTTGAATGCTTGTCACTTCATGGCCATGTTGATCTCGACGGCCTCCAACTAAAGCCCGACACATTATCCAGATTGAGAAAGCTCTCTTTCACTTCTTGTGCTGGTCCCGATACCATCGATGCTCTTGCACTTATTTGCCAGGCTGCACAACATAACTTGAAAGTTATCGAGCTTGATGGTGGACACAAGCAGCTCACGGACGCCATCGTCGAACCAATCAAAGCTAACCTCGAAGCTTGTTTCACTTTTGTATTCACTAACCAGATTCCAACTTCTGTTCTCCGGACCGAATTTCCAAAACTTCGTGTATTCGGCAGTGATGGGAACACTTGAGGATCCGGGTTTTCGTCCTGATAATTCTTGATAATCTGATACTGATAATATTGTGATAATACAGCGTACAGGTGCCCCGGCACAAGCATCTTCGAAGATAATACAAGCATAATACTTAGCGTGTATTATTTTCGAAATAAAGTCAGAAACCTTATCGTTACGCCATCACGCGTGCCATGTCAATCACCTTTCCCAGCTTCATATCATGAAAAATTTTCCTCACTGCCATCCAGTGTTTCACCACGAAAAAATTTTACCACCACCACACCAATCCAAAAAAACCTTGCCTGCCGACACCTGCGGCACGATGCCAAGTACGAAAACCCTGAGCGGCCCATACAAAGCAACCTTTGCCATCATCCTGCACACGACTCCAGTTTTGATATGTTCCTTCATCCATCACGTTGACACCTCACGTTTGAATTGAACACTTTTTCACTTTGGAAACTCTCCATTACTAGCCCTCCTGACCGCATTCGGCACTCTTTGCTCAACCTGGTCACCTATAAGTCAGTCAGTTTTTCTCTTGTTCTTCAGCCCATTTAGATTTGCTGAAGCTCTTGCCTGAATCTTGTCTTTGACCATTAGGCTGACAGAGACGAAGTTATCCGACCTCATTTCACCTCCATTCCACCATGGTTGTGGCGACGCTAATCCATTCGGATTACGTATTCGTCACTCCTGGTTACCTTCCCGAACCACCTGCACCTGGATCAAGAAAGGGCCAGCCAGTAGGGATCTACTGCCCCATCTGCAATGCTGGATTAAAGTACTGGACCCCCAAGTCTGACGCATGGTTCATCGGGGTAAGTCCAATTGGGTCATTGGCGATTCCCTGTGTTCCCTACCTACCTGAAGTTGAATCGTCCATCACAGTGCCCCAATTCTCAACAGCATAACACAAGAACGTGGCGTTGCGATCAGTTCAACCACGAAAGAACGCTCATCAATCTTGGCTTTCCAAGACCGATCATCTCGACGTTCAAAGACTGGGGACCGAGAATCTCACCTGCTGGCCATATTCTCGATCCTCTGCCTCCTCAGGTTTCGCCGACACGCCATTTCATGCCATTCTTGGGCGATTTACTCAACCCAACACCCCTCAACCACCCCTTTCAAGGGCGCGAGTTACAAGGTCCCGTCTTCTCCAACCCAATGGCCTGGTCCCCGCCGGGCCATCTTCCCACTGCCAGTTCTTCTGCCAGTCAGCCGGCCTCAATGACTAATGAAACGCCAGGCTTGACACCTGGACCTCATCTTAGTGCGCCACCCGTTCCGTGCAAGAGAACAACGGAGGGCCCTGTCCCAAAGGGACATCGCAAGCACGCCAACAAGAAGTGTCGTTTCCTTTATTGTCAGGCGGTAGGTGCTCATAGTTTTTTGAGCTCGTAGCATCCACACACCCTTTTCAAACCACATACAACCGCCCAGCTAACGTTCAATTCTTGTCTGAAGTGTTGCAATGCTCACGGCCAAGGTGTTTGCCGTGCTCATCCTCGCAACGTCAAAGCCAATACCCCATTTTCTCCATACGGCCGATCAATGCCAACATCGACTCCCACCCCCAACAACACCCCACTTTCCGGCGAAATCAACCCACGACGCAGTTGGGTCACTGAGCCTCGTTGTCACCAATGGGCACAAAGCGCCAATTCGCTAGGACGCCGACTTCACGTGGACAGCGTGATAACTCTCCATAAGAATCGACTTGAAAAATACCAACCGGAAATCCAGAAGAAGTACAATGAAACTAAGATGGTCACAGTATACCTATGGGTAAACGTAAGCATAAGCAACCAACCTTACCTCGTGGTCGGAACCCAAAGCAGCGCTGATTGACCTGGAATATCTATTCCCCGGAAATCAAACCGGTGGTGATCACAGCATACTTTCAAGACTGGCCACACGCCCGGTGTGGAAAGCAATTCCTATGATCACGTCTTAATCTCATATCATTTTTTTTATTATTACATTAGATCAACTCACAACAGAAAAAAGAAAAGATCCATAAATCACACTCTTCAATTTTTATCAAGGCATGTGGACTCAAGACAAATAATCAAAATCATCATTTCAATTCAAATTATCACTATATGGATCTTGTTATTCTCAATGAACATCAATCTTACATTCAAAATGGTATATTTTATACAGACATAGAAGTTCAAATAAAAACAATACATACAAAAAAGATAAATAAATGAGATACATACATACCTTGGAAAAAAAAAGAGGGTCAAAAATTGAAAATGTCAACATTGATGTTACACAAATAAGATTAGAATTGATGAATCAAGAATGAAAACTCACCTAGTAGATTAATCAATCCCCAAACAGTTGATCTACAAGAAAGAAGTCAAGAATTGAAATTGGAATCTATGCAGCTATGAACTAACATTAAAGCAAGTCAGGAGAAAGTGGAGAAGTCAGTTTAAATGATGCAACAGAATAGAAGGAACAAAAAACTTACCTAAATGATCAAGAAGTCGAAATTAAAATTGAAGTCAAGAGAGTTGAAAATTGATTAAGAAGGCCTACAATCAAATTTAAATGAATTAATCTTAAACAATTGATGCAAAGTTCAAAATCGAATGACAGACAAATAAAGAAACAATATAACTTGTCATTATTGTGTAAGAGAGTGGAGAAAAATGTTAAGAACAGACCTCAAAATCAAAATCTAGATAGACAAAGATGAAAGAGAAAGTAACAAAAGACTTACAAGATAGATCAGAGCTCAAGATCGAAATTGAATTGAATGTTTATGAAGATTGTAGTTGAAACAGGCTGAGATCGAAATGGAGTTGGTGTAGTTAGAGACTGAATTGATTGATATTGAAGTGAAGGTGGTTAGAGTTGAGTAGTGATCGAGATAGAGGGGTCCTATGGAAGCTTTTGTTTCAACTTATCAAATAGATACCTAGAAGCGAAATGAAAAGGGAATCAAAATTTTAGACAAAGAAGATAAAGTTAGTAAACAAGAACAAACAAAGATAAAGAAATGAAAGAACTTACTTAAATGAAGATCAAGATCAAAGGTCAGAATCGAAACTGAATCCATCAATCTATTCATCAGATACAATAAGAATAGAAAAAAAAAGGAAACAGAATAGACATTCGATTTTGAGGGTTTAAATTGAGATAGAGAAAGAGGGTGGTGTCAGTGTTGTGCAAGATGAATAGTAGAAAGAAAGTTAAGAGAGAAAAGACTTACATATTTATCAAGATCTAAATCAAAGATCAGAATCGAAATTGAAACTAAATAGGAATTCGATTTTGAGGTCCAAAGTTAAAACTAATGAAAACAAAGAAAGGAGGTAAAGGAGTCAGTATGAGAACAAACAAAGAAGTGAATGGGAAAAGAAACTTACTTAAATGATGTCAAAATCGAAATCTAAATACATAAAGTCAAGGATGGGATAGTGTAGAAGGAGAGAAAAGAAATTGAACTTACATTGTAAATCGATGGTGTGAAGATCGAGCTGGAGCTTGAGGATGAAGTGCGATCGAGAGGTCCTGAAAATCGAAATCTAAACAACTAGAGAGAAGAGATGAGTGAAAGAAAGAAAAAAAAAGGGAGTCAACACAGATCATGAACAAGTTAATAAAAGGATGAGCAGTAAAAAACAGGGTACTTAGCTGTTTTGAAATAAAACTAAATCGAAAATAAAAGTGAATCTGGTGATGTCGTGATTTGAACATAGAGGCCCGATCGGAGATGAAGTCGAAATTGGAAAGGGAGGAGGGAGTGATCAGGAGGTTTTTTCTTAAATGTATCGGTCTCGTTTTTTTTGTCTCGTTCGTGTCTGTGTGTGTGAAATCTGTGTGTTTTTCTTTTTTTTGTGATTCATCTAGAGAAAAGAAAGAGATAGTCTTTTAAAAAAAATATAAGTCTTTGAGTTATTCGTTTTAAAAGTGTTAAGCGTATTATCGATAGTTTTTCTTTAAAAAGATTTTAAAGTAGTTGAGGATTGTTTTGTTTGAAGTGTGAAGTTGAGAAGTGTCTGACTGTTGTTATTTCAAAAGCTCAGCTAATCCTATTATCGTATCCATTGGGTGTTAGTGTTGTTTTTTGTAGTTGAAAGATCGAAGTCGGTGGTGTTTGCTGAGCTGGGTCAAGGGGTGAATAGTTTTTTCATTTTTATTTTTTTATTCTGCTACATTTCACCTCACGTGAAAGGTCATCCGCAGGGCCAAGCCCGGATCCTTGGTTCAATTCCCTTATAGGTCTTAGATAGTTTTTTTAGAAATTTTATTTTTTTAGGGTAGTCCTGTTAAAAATTACACTTGGGTTAAGAAAATTTTATTTCCTTCCACCTATCTTTTTGCTCTTCATAAGTTATCTAAGTTTTATTTTTTTTACACATAGTAAGAATTACAATAAAACTAGAATTCAACATAGTTTTTCATCAACATCTTGTGTAGTGGTGTGAAGTATATCATTGAGATCCGCCAGATCTTGCGGATCTTTCAGAAATATTAGAATAGGGTTGCTGGTTATAATTGTGAAGATATAAAATTGTTAAAGAGTTGTTTTGGTGTTGATTTTTTTATTTTCTTGAACTTTTTAGAAAAGGTTGAGGGCAGTTTACAACAACCATAGTTTCATCTGCGTGGTTATTCTTTCTGCGCGGTGATTCTTCCCCTCTCCGGCTCAGCCTACGCCACACAGCGTAGGAGTTCTACACCGGCTGGAAGAAAGTGATTTGTTGATTCAGGCAGTGCTTGGAGAGGTTGGCAATGTTTGGAACCGCGCAATCAGCCTGTGGGATGAAGTGATTGACGCTTGGGTGAGTAATACCTTACATCTGTTCATCACAGCAAGAGCTGATTGGAGTCCGAAATACCTGTATCCAAATTACCCCGGCACGTAGCGCGAAATACCCGTGGACTACCCCCATCATTACTCTCGCACCAGCAAGTCCATTGTGGTTCGGCTTGGTAAGGTGAATCCGCTGACACCTGGCCTGCCACATAGTGCTTGCGTCATACCACGCAGCAACACCACCCACGGTCACGGGGAATCCTCTTCAGGGCCCAGCCCATTTTCCAAAATTCCTTCAACTCCCGATCAAGGTCTCCAAACCTCCTCACCGGATCCCACACGTGGGAAACAACTCGATGCCGTTGCGAGTGCCCATAGCCCTATCACACCGGTTTCAGAGCGCACTGAAATGTCGATGGTAGTTGACCTTAGTCATTTACCTGACTCTCCTGGCGTAAGCGAGTCCCCTTCCCCCTCAGCGTTCATTGTAAAACGCGAACCCCTGGACGACCAGAATGAACGCGACGCCCTGGCTGAGGACGACCAGCGGCACCGCGAGGCCCTCCCCGTCGACGACAAACAGGCACGCCATGACCTGGAGGACGTGGACGACCAGCAGCCTCCCAATTTTCAACAGGTACCAGTGTTGCACAATTCCACCTTGGGGAGTGACTGCCCCTCAGACAGTGTAAGCACAGTTAATATCATACTTTAGATACACATTAACCAGCAGGGATTGGTAATGCGGTCTGAATTTCCATAGGTTTCACCATCCGTCGCTGTCACTTTGACAGATGTAAGAGCGAATCATCTCCAGCTCAAACCCAGATGGCCATCCAAATCTGTACTCATTTCCAGTCTCCTCGCCTGGCACCGTGAAGGGCAAAACGGCGACATGCTTTTGAGTTGGCAGCGACATTATGGAACCGAATGGAAGGAGGTGTTGCCCACCATGTACCGGTATCGTGGCTGGATCAACCGAGTCGGCTACGGGCGATTTGCTGCTGAATACGAAAACCAGCCCAATGCTGTTGTAGGGCAGGCGCGTATACGTTTTAAGGAGGAATTCAACTGTGTAGCATGTGTTGCCCTCCCTGAGAAGCACGGTGAAAAGGTCGCGGGGTCTGCATCAACCTCTCATCAGAGTTGATGGTGATTGTTGAAACCACCATTCACACAATCTTCCTCTTGTGATGGTCTTTTCCACATTTCACAAGGAGTTATCACAAAAGATAATCTAACCTCCAAGCTCTTCTTTTTCATTTCATTTGTGTGATTCACAACAATCATTAATCATTACTTTCATTTGGAGGTGGAAATTTCTCTTGAATACATTTGTTTTGACGTTAGAATTTCCCTTTTTTGGTTGGATTTTTTTTTTTTCATCCTACTTACTAATTTCTAACAGAAGCAATTAAAGATTCCATTAGAATTGGAGACTGATTCATTATTAAATGTTTTCATTGAATGGATTTCATTGAATCCATTAATGATTCAGTGAATCATTTAATAATGATTCACTGATTCATTAACAAATTGAAAAGGATATTAAGGATGTCCACCTGATCATTAATACCTTGTGGGCATACAAGGTAACAATGTCTCAATGTCAACCAAACATTGGATAGGAACCAGCTAAGCATATGGCACAGAGGTAGTTGTGGGTTCAACTACCCCTGTGCCATATGCTTAGCTGGTTCCTATCACCGCTAGTGACAGTGTAATTCCGCATATTGGTTGGGCATCATTACCCAGAACTCAGTCATCAGTAACTAACTTACCAGTTAATTGCCCTACTGTTCTTTTTCTCAATTTGAAAATAAAATATGTTTGTTTCAATTTCTTGAGATTGAAACAAACATCACACACAAGAATTGTGGCATGATGAAAATGTATGACCTGATGGGTTAACTTCTCAATTGCAATCATGACTCAACCCATGAGGTTACAGGAAGCAATTCCATGTGATTGTGGTAATTTATGACGTTTTTCATTAAAAAATATATAATGAAAAACGCCAAAAATTACCACAATCACATGAATGTATAAATTTGGGCCTGGTTTGGTGATGATCAACCATGGCCCAATAATAGCCACCTGTTTTCTTCACTTCCCAAATGAAGTGAAGAAAACTCCCCACCACCAGGCAGCCAGCACATATGTAAGTATGGTGCCTTTCCTCCTTCAAATGGATGTTTTGCAAAACATCCATTTCAAGGAGGAATTCAAAGCATGTGAAAGGTACATATAGGTCACATTGTGAATGGTTTTGAATATTTTGATGGAATATCCATACCATCAAATGTAAATGAGGTCCCAGACAGACTAAGTGTCTCCACCAGAGTCAGGTGACCATCATTGATCACCTAGAAGATGATCAATGATGGTCACCCCACACAACACTCAGAACACTACACTAAGGATAGAATTAAATATTCTAGTGTTTGCATCCCTTCAAAAGTGACTCCACATACCTCTGGCGCAAAAAATTGAGGTGGTCACCCAAATATTAGCCCCGTGAAATTTCCGCAACCCCCTTGCCTCCACAGGGTACCGATGGCTGTGGCCCATAACTTTGGGCAACTCTTGAGTCCTCATCTTTGACAATTCCATTCTCTTTCTGTCTCTTAATGATTGTCCAATTTTTTTTTTTTGGGACACAGCAACCCGGACCCCCGCCAGTTGGTAGTATTTACCAATGCCAATGCGCCCAATCACTATATTTACATTCTTCATAACTATTACATATTGCCGCATCTATCAACCCCTGTGAGAGGTTCCCAGTGCCCGCCATGCTTAGCATTCTAGCCCGCCTCAATGCCATAGATGCCATAGATACATTGGTTTGTTGATATGATATAATTGATTTGTGGATGAACAGAGATGATTGCTAGATAGAGCTATAAGAGAAGCATTGCAGTTTGAAAAATGTGGCACTGAGTACAAAATTATTTCACACAATGTGACTATAGGGCAATCATGATTCAATCATGATTGCCCTACCCTATAGATGATGTTATGTGGTGTGGAATAAGTTTTTTAAGTGCCTGATTCTGTCACACACATTTACATTTACATTTACACATATTTACAAAGGCAAACAAGAGGATCAGATGCAAACAAGAGGATCAGATGTAAGACACCAAACCAAGTGAAAGATACAAATGGACAATTCCACATCTCTAAAGTAACAAGAAATCAAAGCCACATTGGACAGCACATGTAAACAAGAGCTACCCAAAAATGTCCCGTCCACTGCATAAATTGATATCATTCAAGAAACTCATGACTGCGCACCTGTGGAGCAAACCAGATCAGAATGGGAGACAACACAAAAGGCCTTTGTGAACTGACCTTGACAATAAACCTTCCAGACACGATATCTTTCCTAATAACATAACCATGCAGCAACATCCTTGCCCCCACAGCAATCTGCGGCCAATAAAAGCTCATTGGAGTAAACAGCCCGAATTGATAAGTCATAATGAATTCCTTGATTTCTTCGGTCTGTGTGAGGCAGCAAAGTCAGTGACAGGTTAATCACCAATGATGACCAATTGCTAGTACATACCCGAGGGTCAAACCAATCGTGTTTGGCATTGACAGTGAGTTCCCAACCAGTTATTTTGTCTACATCTTCAAAATAGAAATCAACGATCTTTCCAACGCCGTTCACTACAGCTTTACCTGCTAGGAGGTCTCCTAGGTCTTGAGGATTAATCACAGGGGGAAAAATAAAAGCTCGCATAGATGTGAGCAGAGGGTACCTTCCTGATAACTCCAAAAATGTTTCAATTTCCTTCAGATTCTTTCAATTCACCATTTTGGTGGTGCCAACGTGTTCAGCCTGTAATACTCAGGTATTGCTCGAGTTTGCTAAAGCATGCTCATCTTCATCTTGGATGAGCCTCTCTTGAGCATGTATGAGTGCTCAGGACCCAGCTGACACATCACTGTATACTCAGAATCACCTTCAGAAGGGTCCAAAGGATGTCACTGAGTATTGGCTGAGGGGATGCTCAGTTCAGCACAGCTGCTCAGCCAATCCTCAGTGGTATTCCCAGGATCAGGAGGATCCAAAGGATGTCACTGAGTATTGGCTGAGGGGCTGCTCAGCTAGTCCTCAGTGGCATTCCTGGGATCAGGATCAGAGGTAACAAAGGATGTCACTCAGTATTGGCTGAGGGGATGCTCAGTTCAGTGGAGCTGCTCGGCTAGTCCTCAGTGGTATTCCTGGGATCAGGAGGATCCAAAGGATGTCACTTAATATTGGCTGAGGGGCTGCTCAGCTAGTCCTCAGTGGCATTCCTGGGATCAGGAGTATCCAAATGATGTTAATGATTGTATTGGCTGAGTGGCTGCTCAGTTCAGCACAGATGCTCACCTAGTCCTCAGTGGCATTTCTGGGATCAAAAGTATCCAAAGGATGTCACTGGGTATTAGCTGAGGGGCTGCTCCGTTCAGCACAGCTGCTCACCTAGTCCTCAGTGGCATTCCTGGGATCCAAAGTATCCAAAGGATGTCACTGAGTATTAGCTGAGGGGCTGCTTGCGTAGTCCTCAGTGGCATTCTTGGGATCAGAAGTATCCAAAGGATGTCACTGAGTATTGGCTGAGGGGCTGCTCACCTAGGATCCTCAGTGGCATTCCTGGGATCAGAATTATTCAAAGGGATGGTTCCCATTGTGTTTTCACATTTGGTTGGGTCTCTCACTGCTCAATCACATTTGGTCACTTGACTGTGCAGGCTGAGCAATGGAGGGCCCGACATGACCTGAGCAGATAAGCTAGCCCTCCCTCAGGCTTCTTGGCTGAGGGATAAAGCCTGAGGAAGGCCTAACTCATCTGCTCAGGCCATGCTGACCATTTGATCAGATGATGAGCTGAAAGAAAATTGGAGGAAAACTGGAAGAAAATTGGAAACAATCTGGAAACAATCTTGGAGAAACCTCCAAACTTTCTCTGCTCACATCTATGTGAGCTTCTAGTTTTCCCCCTGTGAATTACTACCTCAGTTTTGCTGTTGCGGGAGTGTTTGATTGCACTTTCCCCCGAATTGTGATCGTGCCCGAAGGGTCCGACAATGCAGTAGGTCTTGGCGCGCTGAAGTTTGTCGGCGGGCCTCACGTAGGCGATAGCAGTCAGGGGTTCAAAGATGTGACCTCCGAAGGGGCCTTTCAAAGCAAGGTTTGTGTTGGACGAGTGCCAACCCGTTCCAAAGTCGTTGGGGTTGACGCGGTTTGCCTGTTCGCCAACACCACACATACAATGGAACCCAGGAGTTAGTGGACAATGCGCATTGAAGGCACCGTTCTGAGGGGGTCGATGCTTACATTGTCTATGTTGTGAAGGATGGCCGTCATGAGGGTAGGGAAAGGCATGCCTCCGGTGAGTATGCGTAACAGAAGCAGAAGACAAAGATCAAAATCGCAAAGAATGCCGGCGCTATGATAAGGAGACAATAACAAAAGAAAACGAGGTACGGTGAGGACTCAGTATGGTATGTAGGGAAGTGGCGCGCGTGGGGGGCTCTCTTCCCTTTGGTCATCACCATTTTATAAGCAGTTTAAGCCTTGGTGATGACCAAAGGGCCGACTGGCTGGTGCTGGTATACATCCCTCCTTCAGACAGCTACGAACGACACTGTTTGTTGTGCATGCCATGGCATTTAAAGAGTAAGTGGATAGCATTTATCCATTTTCTTCTAGCAACCTTGGTTCACCGTGGCCATGATGTAAGAACCATTTCCACAACTACACCTAGGCAGCGTGGTGTTGTTGTTGTGGTTGGTCGGTGCTTGCTCATGTGCAAGCGCAAGCGATTGTCAAGGTCTCTACTTGACCAAGTTCATATGTAGAAGTAGATTGATTCACATATGAGTATTTTAAGAGTCAAATTACTTTGATTATGTTTTGTTCAAAGTAATGAAAAAGCCCGACAAAGTGGTGAAAAAACAATTGGGATTTGAAGTGCCAAAAGGATATTTAAATGCGAATAAAAAATCACATATAAGGAAGCACTATTGAGGACCAACGACTAATTGCACTATTGGACTATATATAACTTTTTCACCTGATACCTTGTGTTTAGAAATCATAATATATAACTGAGAACAGAATAAAAATTTCTTCATTGTATTGATACTCTTTGTGTCATTGTTTGTTTTCAAAAGTGATGACATCTTTTCTGACCGACTACCCATCGTAAGATGGGTAGTCGAACCGAGAAGATGTAGTGACAAGTAATCATGGATTAATTAGCCCTGAGCCGTCCCGATAACACAAACATGAAACGAAGTAACTGACTCACCAGTATTATAGGATACCATTGCCCATAAATTCCATACCTGGTCTTTTTTTCAGCTTGCGTATGAGCCAAGCGTTCTGCAATGCAACCATCTCCTCCAAGAAAAAGTTATACTTGGTGGAGTGCATGCTTCTACACATTGAAGCAAAACCTCCATACCATATGTTCGTAAGTTCTGCTGCGGACGCGTTGAAAAACCATTTACCGTCTTCTTGAATGTCGGGGAACAGGCGGGGGTTTGTGAAGCGCTGACAGAACTCATCGCTCCCAGCATGGGAGCGATGGTGGAATGGGTCGACGGGGATTACTGTGTCCTTGAACCGGCTGGCATCCACTGAACCGTGGTAGATATGTTCGGTCAGTCGGCACGCGTTGTCATAAAAAACGGCCTCCGGTATACCCTGAGGGAAGGTCTCTTCCAAGAAAGCCTGCAAGCAAGTGTCATCAGAGGTAATCGTTGTTAAGGAAATTGGTCGTGATAACTGCACGTAAAAGAAATTCACTTACTTTAACGGCACTGACGGATTCGGAGTGATAGAACGTTTTGCGTGCCAATATGATGCCACACGGGCCCACGATGAGTTGATCGTTGTGTGTTCGCATTCGACTTAAACATACTTTGTCTTTTTGTTGAGATTCCCCACCGTCGCGGGCACGTTTGTGTGCCCGGTTGGACTCGTCCGCTTGTTGAAGACTTTCCAGGTCTTCAAACTCCCCAGTCTCGGCGTTTAGATGAACCGTTGCATCTGAGGGAAGGTTTGAACCTGGTCGATTCAGAATGGCCGTGAGAGAAAAGTTACCTTCTACTCGTATTTCAAACGCTTGCATCGCGCTGATGTGAGCTTCGTTCTTGCAAGTCCTGCTTCCGGGTTTGCACGATGAAGTGCAAGGTTGAGCTTGACAACGATTCCCCAGGAGATGAAAGTGTTCTTTACAGAAGCGGTGATTGATGTTCTCCAGCCTGTTGGTGCAGGGTCCTTCAGGTTGTCGTAATCCGGCCGTATTAGCTATCTCAGCGAGCTGATCGGTGGTAGCACTACAGAGCCAATGGCCTATAGTGAGACCATCAGTTACAACGGCACGGATGCCTGAAAGAGTGTTCAAGTGGTCGTGAGGAATCCAGTTTTGTTTTCTGGAGTCTTTGAAGAAAACGGAACTGACCTAATAGGATTTCCTCGCCAGTCTCAGAATCAATTCCGCCCGATTGAATTCGAACACAGCGGGAGCAGTAGTGGTCCCGGTCTCGGGTACCCTCGACGGCCAAGAGATCGAGATGGAGGCCCATGGCATCCTCAAAACGTAGATGATCGGTCCCACTTGCGCTAACTGTGAGCTGGGTACCCCTGCGGTCTGCGTGATCGAGGAGGGAGAGGAGGTCCAGTCCATTGCTGCACATAGCCTCCGACATCGCCGGTGAAAACGCTTGATCGGAGGCAAATTGAGGTATGTTACACTCGTCGACAAATGTCCTATTGTACCAATTCACTAAGTTGAAGTGAGAAACACTAGGGCATTACACGGTCAGTTACGAATCTTACGTATGTCAACAATGAAAAGCAAATAAGGCGTAAAAAAACTCACTGCGCTAAAAACTGAATCCCACGTAACATGTGGTGCAAACGTTGGGTCATGTAGTAGTGACAATGCACGTGAAGGATGTCCGGGTCACGGCCCAATGATATGTTGTAGTAGCACTGCAGTCTTTCCCGGGTGTAGTAGCTTGGTCTATAGGATGTTGCACATTTCGTATCTGGGAATGAAAGCATTACGATTTAGCGGTTCGATCGAGCTTTATAAAGCTGAACGGTTGAATGGGAAACGTAAATCGATAACGTACCTGGACATCTCAGGATGGTTGTCTCGGCGGTGTGTACACCATCCGAGTCAAAGACGTACGCGTTTAGGCGCGAGTGGACGTGTATCTTTGGTGTGTTTGGACAGACCAGACACCGGGAAACAGGGGCTCACAGGTATTGCTCTGGAGCATCAAACTTTCGTAGTTCTTCTGGGAATTCCCACCTGGGAATACTGCCCCATGCATAGGCATTCAGGCATATACGCATAGCCTTCTATTCAAACTGCCCTCCTCGGACCTGCTGCGCATCGGGGCTGATGCCCTACTGTGCCCCGTCTTACTAACCTTCAACAACCCATACCTTCGTGATGTCAGTACGCGCTAGAAAGAATTCACAACCTCAACACGTAAATTTTTTTTCGTAGATGAAACACACTCCTCTTTGACATCATCAAGACCCTGGCCTTACTCCTTATAAATAACAACGACCCCTCTGATATGGCGCAGTCCGAAGAAATATTTCCCTCCTCTTGCTCAGGACTGCCAATTCCTCCCAGTACACAACATGCCCAAAGGCCCCTACATTGGAAACAGATATCAACGACTACCCCAGCACCAAGTCCTCCCACCGCCGAAACATGGGGGCAAGGTAGGTCTTTCCTGTCCCGACTGTTCGAACAACACATCGCTGGTGTATGTCCCCGGTGGCGAAGAGACTGTCAAGGTCAAGGTCAGTCGTTTTGACTCAACAACTCCTGTGTCCGTACTTCCCACGCTACAGCTAACACACTCTTCATGTGTCTCATGTTAACAGTGTGCGTCCATACGCAATCATTACTACCGGACATTCAAACTCAACCAGCTAAACCACGAGATCGCCTGCATCAATGCCGGAGCAAAATATCCGATCCCGTTTGACCCTTCAGCCCATGGACCTCGTGTCAACATTGCTGGAGTAGTGTTGCCGCCTCCCCCTCCCAAGCCATCAAAAACCGCCAAAACGCCACGCGCACCTCCTGCTATCATGTGTGCTCGCCCGCAAGAAGGCGCGACAGCCGCCAAACATAAGCCTGCAGGGCATGCGGCCTGCAGTTCAAGATATTGCAAATCGGTCTGGTCCATCCTTTTCTATGTCTATACTTCTCTCAAACACTACACTCACTCTATTCACAATTCTTCCTTTCGTTGTGATACCCATATAGTGTTGCATTGCCTACGGCCCACCTGGGGCATGCCATGCACATCGGCAGAAGGAACCCATCATGCCACCGGCTCAACTTCGAAGTAACCCTGCACCACGAGTTCCGCATCAACCACCAACTGCGCCCCCTAACCCCAAGCGACTGCGATTGATCCCAGCTCAGTGCGCTCAAAGTGTCCGCCGCTCTGGACGTACTATCCCTGATGAAAGCGACAAAATCATTGAACGAGCCACTCAGGCCCAGGCTGAGAGAAAACAACTCTCTCCACATGTGGTTGTGCAGGATGACGCTCGAGCCTCATCAAACGCACCCTTTGACGAAGGGAAGGTCGTCAGCCTGCACCTTGTGACACTTGTAAGCTACTCCAGAATCATTGAAGTATATACGTGAGGAACACTAAGGATTGATTTGTTTGCAGGAACAACGCCATCCTGTACTATCACACATGTTTCCTCAATGGCCGCTCGCAACTTTGCAGGATTGCACCTCACTGCTACGAAAGGCTAAAGAAGCGGCGGGCCCCAAATGGGATGACACTGTTCTTTTCTGGGATGAAGAAATCAGGAATTGGGTAGGTTCAGATTACTTTTTGTCAATCGCTCCCTTTGCGTTGAATCTTTCTTCTTCCTTGCCTTACAGCATGAAATACCAGTCACCCTCCCCCACCGTTACACGCATCGACACTTGGTCATCTGCATTCCAAGCCAACGTGTCGCTCTCTGTACACAACTGCAAGAGGTTTTAGAAGATCTGCACATGGGAAACCAAAGGTCCCTCAAAGTTCACCCGACTTGAATGTGATTCAAAAGGTCAAACAAGAAGAACCAGAAGACATGGACCTAAGTATCCCCAAGACCCCAAAAAAGTTCATAGTGGACCCTTCGGCCGAACGAATCACCATCAGCCTGCTCAATGACTCGGACTCTGAGTCGGACTCAACCGAACCGACAGTCTCCTCAACCGACCCGCCAGTCTCATCGTTAACGACTCATCACTTGGCAGGCCCGTCTACACCTGATAGCGATGCTGCCTTACATGGGACTTTAACACCTGTGAGTTGTCCTGTTATCAGGTGACATCGGTCAATCCTCAAACTGAAGGAACCGTTTTTTTACGTGAAGCCTGTTCAACTGTCACAAGCGGCCACGCACCTACCAGAATTCCCTGGGGAAGACTTGCTCCTACAACCGCTCCTCGAATGGTTCTACACTACACAAAATATAATATTTTCTGGGCAGAAAATTAAATTATTGATACACAAAAATATTGAGAGGCCAGGAGAAGGGAAAAAAATAAATAAAAATATGCATCTTGTTCCCTGCGGTGAGAGCTTCACTCTCCATATTTTTCCATATTTTTACAGTCCGTATTGATAAGTGTACTAACAATAAACCTTCATAATCATCCAATTACAACCTGTAACAAGCACTGAAATTTGGCACATTAGTGTTTAGAGAAACTTTTGATTTCTGAAAACACCTATAACTTTGTCAAATCTGCCTCAAAACACTCGATTTTAAGTGCATTAGAAAGCTGAACTCTTCCTCCCAAACTTTCATAAGATCAAGAACTATGTAGCTAGTATGACAATCATTCTATGGATCTGTATGTACAAATGTATAAAAAAGATGATATCTTTTTTAGCAGACCAGCATGCTGTGTGGTCATATTATGAACTATTTGGAGGATAATTCCAGCTTACCAATGCACCAAAAATCGAGCGTTTTGGACCGGAATTGAAAAATTTATGAGTATTTTCAGAAATCAAAAGTTTCTCTAAACACTAATGAGCCAAATTTCAGTGCTTGTTACAGGTTGTAATTGGATGATTGTGAAGGTTTATTGTTAGTACACTTATCAACATGGACTGTAAAAATACGGAAAAATATGCAGAGTGAAGTTCTCAACGCAGGGAACAAGATGCATATTTTTATTCATTTTTTGCTCTCCTCCTGGCCTCTCAATATTTTTGTGTATCAATAATTTAATTTTCTGCCCAGAAAATATTATCTTTCTTGTAGTGTTAGCGTCCAGCGTCCGTGGCACCTGAGTCCCGGCGTGGAAGGCACGCTTCGGAAGTACGTTTCGCTATGACAAATCAACTGTCTACCGTTACTGGGGATTTGTGGAGAAAGTCACATACCAACGATTGAAGATTTGGCATGAGAGTTGGCCTATAGTTGGAGAAAATAACCAGGGCAATATCACCGTCAAACGTGCAACACGCACTTTTCAAAAGGAGTTCAATGTGATTGCTGGTATCAAGGACCACAGCCCCGTTGTCAGCCAAGGCGATCACAACCCCCCAACCCCCAGCCAACAACAACACCACACAACCTGATTAAGTCGCCATCAATTATGACCCTCAGTCTCTTGGTTTTCCTCACCCAAATTAATTAGATATGTCATACGGTTTTTTTTGGTTTTTTTTTGTTATCCTTAGCACCCTTTGACGCAATGACACACCACCTTGTTTCTTATGACCTGTTTTAAGGAAGGACCATGTTAAGCAATGCTCCGTGCCCACTTCAGCCCATTAAAAGGAAGCTTTCCTTGCTACCGTGGTCTGACAAACATCTATTTTTCTTTTATCTGTCTCTCCAAAAAGCTTTTCATCAAACTGACTTGGTTCTTTGGTTCAGCACCCCCATCTGATTGTATCTTTTCTTTTCGCCTTTGCCTACTTTCAACCTTTACCCTTCGCCATGAATCTTTACCGCTTACTTGGGTTTGGTAGGTCAAGATCTACTAACCTTTTTTGATCTCTGTCAGCTCTGACTTCCTCTGGTTTGATTTGAACAGGTTCCAGTGGTATCAATCTTACTTATCCTGAAGCACTTGGATGGAGGGCACTACCGTATGATAACCCAAGTAATTCAACCGACAACTTAGTATTCGGCCTAGTACCTTGCGAGGGGCAAGTGGATGATGAACATAGAGTGCGGACTTACAAATGGGGGTTTTGTCAAGCCAATATTCAGGTTGACCAGGTTTCGCAATACTCTGACCATGATGGCCGCATCACCCACTCGGCTACTTTGCTGCATGAACGGGTGGGTACTTTGGAGCTTGATGCAGTCGCTCTTCCTTTAAACCAAGATAACATATTTCAACATCTTTGTTACGCGCAAATGTTTGTCTATGCCGACATCCTCCTGGAGATATTCAAGTCCATCGTTCGAGAACATTGCGACTTAACCACTGCTGAGAAGAGGGTCCTCCAAAAATTGAGGTTATGTGAAATACTTATTAATAATCAATCTTATCCAGCTGTTATTAACTGTCTCCCTTTGATTCCCTTTTGCAAACTCAGATTATTCAGAATCTGGTTATGCGTGAGGGCCTGGCTACCCCTGTTCACTGGTTCAATTTGCAAGAAGGAACTGCAGAGGTCCCAAAATATATCACCTCAGAAGATGGTTTTGAACCTGATTCTTACACCCCAGATTTCCTCGGCCGTCTCCTGGCCTGCTTTACACACTGGACATACAACTATCATGGACGCAAAGCACTGATATGTGGGTTCCGTGGATGTGAGGGTGTGATCACCGATCTAATCATAATGGATGATCAGTAAGCACTTCAGCCTTAGTATCCTGAGCTAGCTATTATTTAGTAACTCCTGGTTTTTGTGCTTCAGTCGGCCTTGGTTTCTGCAAAATACTTTTACAGGTGGATTGCAGCGATTTGGAAATCACCATATCTGTAATGGTCTTCTATGTGAACAAATTGGTTTAAGTGCTCCTGTCCCCTACTATAATGACCATTTCAAATGATCCATTGGGATTTTCAACTCATTGTTCTTCCCAAAAATATCAGCATGAATTAGGATTTTTGTTACTTTTTTGAATTTTTTTTTCACCTTGTATTCCTTTGAATGGAATGAGTTTCTGTTTGCTGTATCATCTCAGTTTCTTTTTTTCGAATGTTACTTTCACTTGTTACTTTTGATCTTTTTTCACCTTATCTCACCTTGCCTTTTAGAAAATTAGGTTTGCTTTTGACATCATTATTTGTGAAGGCACAGTCATGAAGACACAAAAACTGGATTTATAATAAATCCAAAAAAAGTGTTGTAAGATGGCCATAATAAAAGGTGGTATATTACACCAATGAAACAATAAAATTGAGTCCGGAAAAAAAAATTAGGGTCCAAAAGAAAGTTGGTTGGGTCATACTTCAAGTTATGCAAAGGCTATCGATGATACCCCAGAAACAACATCAGTGTGGTCTTAGACAAGCTAGGCTCCAGATTTCCTGCTGATGGAGACATGCACCAGATGGGAATTGAACCCAGGTGCACATCACAAATGTTCCTTTGAGTCGTTAGCGTATACTGCTCACTACATGCAAGGTGGTGACGCCGCGGGTGCGGGGTCGCGCTGACCCCGGATTGACCCCCCGCTTTTGCAAGACCCCCCCCTTGGGTTTTGTGCGGCGTCACCGCGACCCCGCATCCGCGGGGTCAGCACTTTGCATGTAGTGGCTACACCATGACCACTTGAGGGTACAGGGAGATCATGCATTCCCAAGTTGCTGCAATGCGCAACTGAATTGATGCTCATTGCAGCACAAATTCACATTTTCATCAGTATGAATCTGAAATAGCGAGTAGGATAATTCTGTAGTTGATAGTGGCTTTGCTTCTTGCGCACATATAAATCAAAACAGAGATGACAAATCGAGATGCAATGTTTTCCTAATCATACTAACTTGAAGGGATCTGTAAAGACAATTCAATATTTCGATGCATAAAGGCACAAGATAGTGTCATGAAAGTATTATGCTTTACTCCTTCCACTTTCTTTCTAAATCCTTCAAAAGATCCTGACAATCCAATACATCACGTTCACAATTAGAGGTTCCATTCCATTGTTCATCCGTTCCTCTTTTCGCTGCAGCAACGGCTAGACTCATAGTGATTTGTGATGAGCATCCCAGACGAGTATAATGGACTTTCTTACCCTGCTTATTTAAAGTATCTTCCTCTTTTGAAGCCATAGTTTGATGGAATGTGCTTTTGCCACTCCAAGCAATCTGAGCCGCATACTTTGCTCCAAAATTGAAAGCAATCCGATAAGCCGGAAACAAAAACCAACCCCCCTCCAGCACAAACCCCTCACACATAGTTACTATCTTCCCACTGACGGAGTCAATCGGATACCAAACACAGTATACTTTCCCCTTATCATTGTCGGTATGGGGTTTGTTGTAGAAGTTGTTGAATGTGAAGGCAAAGTTCCCTGCAAAGTCAAAAATGGTAGGGGGTGTGTCCTTGGAATTGCTAGCGAGAGGTGGAATGCCGAGATCTACCAGTTGGTTATGAGCCTCTAGGAATGCATAATCCGCGAAAGTTGAATATCGTGTACCTATGCTCTTGCCAAAGTTTGGCAGTTTGCTCAAGAATAGACGATATAATTCCTTGGAGACTCCTTGAATTGGATGGTAAGGAGCAAATAAGACATCGGCATCGTAGCCTGCACGGTTTCCAATACAAAACATCTTCCCTTTGAGCAGGGCACCATTTGTAGTCGGTCGTCCGGTTTTCGGAAAGTTTGAAGGTGCTATTGAACACTCTTGAGCTGCATCTGAGTTTTTTGATCGTGCGAGTAACCTAGGATCCCCTTCTGGTTCTTCTCCCTCCGAATCCGAAGGGGGCAAGGACGAGAGGGGCAACGACGTAGCAGAATCGTAACGAGTTGTTGATTGTTGTAGGGGTTTAGGTGCCATTGAGGGTCCAAACGTTTCGCCAAGCTGAGATGAAATTCAGGCTGATTCAAGGTCACCGAGTCTAGTTGCTTCTTTCTTGGAATTGGGGGATGTATTTGAATGCGAAAGATTCTTATCGGGCTTTGGGAGGGGAAGTCGTCGAAAGAGTTTGGTTGCCATCATGATTGTATCAACGTCATTTTGATGTTCTTGGCGAGTTGCGTCTGGCATGGTTTCGAGGTCTTCAAAACGAAAGGTACATATCAATTTCTTTGTATCGCGATCCACAAATTGTCCGTGGCCATGTGTATATACATTATACATATTGGAGACAATTTCCATGGTGCGTTCGTAATTTTCGACTGGAAGTATAGGATCATCGTATCTTCGGAATTCACGATTGAACCCATCAGTGCCGGCACACTGGGGTGACTGATCAGTCCTCCGTTCATCATTTCCTTTGTTTGCCCGCGCTGCATGTCGTCTGCAAGTTAACAAGGTGTCTATTAGTGCCTAGCGCTACTCAATTGTTCACAGAATGGCTACATACGTTTCACCCTGCCTTCTGCGTCTATGTGGCAGCCAGGATGCATCAGTCACATCACCACTTAACACGTTGCGTGCGCGGCTCCTTTGAATGGTACATTTTGAGAGGAGCAATGGTCAGTTTGGAATTCTCGAAATGAATGAGGTCGATTGATTGAAGGAAATCATCCGGAGGCTCACAACTCACGTTAAACACGCTCCACCAGCTTTATTATCATGCGCAGGGAAGGAAAACTGGCAAGCTGGATGCAGCCAATGGCCTGTTTTGGGATACCCATCAGCTGCAAGGAGTTCGTGGGGTACGTGTGTGAAAGATTTGGGGACGGTGAATGGCGGCGGTAACTACGAAGGAAGGCTTGATCAGAAAAGTGGGTTATGCAGTAGACATTTAAGAATCCCATACATCCTCATCAGTAAACCCTTTCTGTCAACGGCTGTCAATGACTTTCAACCGGTCCGATAGCCATTCTACATCGGGCAAAGGGATCCCGAATCTGAACGACTTCCAACTCAGTAAAAGGCTACTATAAGGCTATACGGTGTAAGACCTTCGCTACTCACTTAGGAACCTCCTTGCGTGAACTGGCGTATGTTGATCTGGTCACCTTAGGCCAGTCCGCTTTACAAGCTTTTGAAGCATTGGACATGGCGTATATGGATTCCGATTGACTAATATGGACCACACAACGGGAATTATTAGGTGTAAGTAACAGTTAGATAGATCTGATCGGTACTATGCGCCTGGGTGGGACCAAAAGATCCAGTGACTCAGTATCAACAATTGAAACCATATAGAGATGATTGCTCATACCTTACTGAAGTCGAACTGCTGCTTATGGATATTTAAATATATCAATCTGCAGTGGATATAAATCGGACAGCAAAAGCCTTTCAGGTCAGGAAGCCCAAATGGAGGCGACTTTAATGTCCCGGTTAAGATTTCAAAGAACTCTTCACGGATCAGTGTGTTGGAGGTCGTAATTTTATTCTAAGTTGCCAGTGACTTTTGCGGAAGGCGATGGGTTTAATCTTATAAATCGAGCACAGAGGACCAAGTAAGCTAGAGAAGAGACTGTGATGGTTTTTTTTTCGTTATTTATGTGATCGAAATGAATCAGTCATTTAGTGAAAGCTGTTTAACTGGTTTAACATAAAACTTAAAACTTACCAATCTGGAATGGATTGGCGGACGAATCGATTCATCGGTCCCACCTTCACCACTTTCATTCCTCCGCTCCTTTGGCCAAAAAGACGAGGATGGATATGAATTGGATGACTCAGACAGCCACATCGATTTTCATAAGCTCCGTGATGCCTTCGAAGCACTAAACACAGGACTTGACGATGCTGAAGATGAAGCTGTCTACGAGGAATTGTTGGACCACGAGCTCTCAGGCATTAGAATTGAAGAGTCGGCTGAATGGTACCCCTTCAAAAAGAAAGAGGTAAGTAGCTCAAGTATATTGCATCACTAGACACTGACACCCATTGATTGTTTTCAACGGTGACAGCATGTGGTAGCTTTGCTCATGATTGGATCAAACCGGAACCTCCTCTCACGCGTCCAATACCAGCGAATACGGTCCCTCCTGCGTATTCTGGGAGTCACTCTGCCAGATTGGGGCACTTTGAGGGCACTTGTCAAAAGATTGAAGAAAAAAATGGGTCTTGATTTACGCGAAAGGATTAGTCCATGTGGGACTCCACTGTTTGGTTTGGATGTCAAAACCATTATAAGTAATGTGAGCCAGCTTGCATTACTCACTCTGACTAAATTAGACATAGCTAAAGTGTTTGCGTTCACAGGAGTTGGCAAACCCCTTAGTCAGCCCTTATTTGGTATACGTGCCCGAGCTCACCATTGACGGGCCGATCAACCGTCTATCGCAGTGTGAAAAGTGGCGTGAAGATTACCCTCTGGATCTATGTGTTCAAATGATATCTTCTGACAATGTCCACTACTACATCTACGAGCCAGTCCAACTGAGAACTCAGCAACTTGTGGTCCCTATTTTCTTCTTCCAACAGAATGGTTGTCTTATGGCCAAGTGTCTACCGGCCGTAGTCAAACACGATCCTCATCACCGCTCTAATCTCAAAGTCATCATTCCACAAGATTGTGCTTTTGACTCTGACATGCTATTCACCATTCCTTGCAAAGACTTCTGGCGATCATTTGGACATATTGAGGTGGAGAATGGAGTTCTTCTTAAAACTATTTGTGGGAATCATATGTATCGTAAGTCATTTATGATGTGTCTCAAATGATATTAATTTGTTAATTGAATGTACTCAAGAGCTAATGTGAATCATTGTCCTTGCAGAATCCGAACATTCAACAGTACCATCCAATCCAATTGAAAACCCGTGGCGAGCCAAGGCACAAGGAAAAATGATCCGCCATGTTCCTCTGGCTCTTTATTCTGACGACACTTCAGGGAATGTATCCAAAAAGTGGAACAAACACATGAGTATCTACTTTACCCTGGCTGGCTTACCATCCAATCTAACAAACCAGGAGTTCAACATCCATTTCCTGGCCACTTCGAATTGTGCGACAGCCCTAGAGCTATTTGATCAGGTTGTTGATGATCTAAAGTGAGGTATTCTTGTTGTTGAAATAGGTCTACTTGGGTAATTAACATGCACTTGCTTCCTCTAGTGATTATGGAACAAATGGCTTCTTTGCATATGACCATCATCTTGGAGCAGACGTTTTGGTAATGGTGGTGTCTCTTTTTCACCTGGGTGACTCTCCAATGCACGCAGAGATTTCAAATACACTCAACCCAGCGAACACCCTCACGCCATGTCGGATGTGTGATCTACATGTAGCAAAGCAGGCTGACAAACAATCAGAAAATTTTGTCAGAGACTTTCTTGGCCTGGATGAAGATGGAGATAAGGTATGAGGCAAATCTTCTTTCTTCCAGATAGAAAAACTGAATGAACTCTGCAGTGCCTATTACCCGGCCGAGATTGGGACCAGACTAGACGATGGACCAAGGAAATTTGGAACACATCTCAACAGTGCAACACTAAAACTCGAGTTGAAAAGATGAGCCGTGACTTTGGAGTTCGAGATCCTATGAATGAAGTTTTCCAGAAAAATGTTCAAGTAGCCCATGAGTCTCTGCCTCCTCCTGAAGTGGAGAAACTCTGTCAAGACATCAATGCTCAACATGGAGAACACATCTTCAATCCCATGTTGAGACTCAAAGGTGAGTCTCTCTCATAATACTTTGCTTTCAGTTGAATATAATGAGAGAGACTGGTATTTTTTTGTAGGCTTTGATGGTCACAAAGATACTCCAGTTGAGGTGCTCCATGTGGCACTTTTGGGGACCACAAAGTATCTCTTCCGCGACACGATGAAAGAACTAGGAAATATCAAGGCCGGCTCAAAGAACTACAACAATATTTCCGGTTGTTGGAGGGCTTTCGATACGAGTGGTTTGAATATCCCGCCCATTCAACCAAACACAATGATTACTTACTATCAGAGCCTAGTGGGGAAGGAGTTTCGAACTGTGTTACAGACCGTCCCCTTTGTCCTTTTTGAACACCTTACCGAAGAAAAACGCGAAATGTGGACATCTCTTTGTGTTCTGGGATCTTATATTTTTCAGACTGAAATACCGAACATGGAAACCTATCTAGCTGAACTGGACATCGCCATATCCAGATTTCTCAAAAATCTGGTAGCCCTCAATGCTCGCTGGGTCAACAAGCCCAAGTTTCACATGCTCGTTCACCTACAAGATTCAATTCGTAGGTTTGGACCAGCTTGTTTATTTGCAACTGAAAAACTTGAATCTTTCAATGGTGTCACTCGCCACAAGTCCATTCATTCAAACCATCAAAGTCCAGGACAAGACATAGCAAACACTTCCTACACCCAGGTCATGTTGAGGATATTTGTATCCGGTTCTTCCTTTTTTGACCATGATCTCAAAACGCGTGTCCATAGTGGCCCGAAATTGCGAGCGTTATTATCTTCAGTCCCCGAGTTATTTCAAGCCATGGGTCTGGACTCGTCTTTGGGGTGTATCTCAACCTATTCAATTGGCCGTAAGTAACCTTCTTTCGATGGTCTGGATGCCTTCATTTAACTCACCCTCTTGATCCCACAAGCCTTGTGCGAGAACCAATCAGTTGCACCATCTTGCATCCCACTCAGTGTTGACCGTGGAAAGTTGAAAGAGTACCAAAGTATCAAGTTGATTGGGCGTCACAAGGCTAAAAAGAATGACTTTCTGGTGGTTTGTCCAATATGTGCTTCTTTGATAGTGTCAAAGCAAGGCAAAGTGCTGATGTTTGTGTATGGCAGGTGAACTCCCGCGAGGTTGGACAAGTCCAATCAATCTGGAAACTCAAGGGGGTATCTGATTCCCACACCCATCTTATTATCAAGAAATGTCAGAAGGGTCCAATCAACCAATTTTATGGGATGCGGGAACTTAAGGTAACCGAAGAAACTATGATCATCAATGTCAAGGTAAGGTTCTGCTCTTCACCGTGCAACTGGGTGTTCATATTGACCAAGAGATATTATGGCTCCCAGGACATTGTGTGCTTGCTGAACGTTCAGCATAACTGCCATGATTCTGATTGTAAATTGGCCAAGAACCACCGCAAGAAAATCGAGCGGAGGGAGTCAACCATTGGCCTGTGGGGGGTTGAACATGTTAATTCAAACTCATTCATCCTCAACGCGGCATCACATTACAATGGCCATGTTCACCGCGGGCTCTTGGATTATCAATTCAATCCAGTTTCTCCTGAAGGTTGGAACCAGGCTATCACCAAGGGCCTCAAGGTTTGGAAGGCTGAACCACGTCCAGCGAAAAAAGGTAATGACCAGGGGTTAGAGAACAGTTAAAATATGTTGCAAAGTCCTATTGGGATAACATTTCTGGTGAATGCATCAGCTCCTTTTAACCAAAAAAGGACAGGGTGATTTGCAACTTGATATCACAATTATATAACATCCTGATGATAAACATGAAATCTATCCCATATAGCGCACATCAAAACCATAAGGAGCCTTTTGCATTTCTTCTTCCTTTTTTGCTGCTTCCTGCCAAATAGAAACAAATATACATCAATCAATCACTTCATTTTCAGATTTCTTTTGATGAAATACTAACCATCACACACACAACTCAATGAGATGAACAACCCAGCAATATGTTCAGGGGAATCCCTCTCGAATTTGAGGAACTGATACATGATCATCAGTATTGTTCACAAACAGCCCAAGAGGTGAACCTCACCTTCACAGTCGTGGTACCAATTAACCCACATGACAGCCTCGTGAGCTGTTGTGGCCATACAAACAACAGGTAGGAGGTTTGGATGAACGGTTGCCCAAATGATGGCCGTGAGGACTTCATCTGCAACCCAATCATGTAATGACGTAATGGGCGAGGGAGGTTCATACAAGTAAAAACCTCTACCAGTGAACCAACGATAAGTTTCATTGACCGCGTAGAGCCACTCTTCATAATTTGAGCCATTGCGCTTAATACGGGGGGAGATGCTGGCATGTGCTTCCATTCTGCGATGATCCACATAACGAAGCATATCGTCCACCGCGTCGAGATTGACACCATGCTCGCGCAGTAACTCTATTGTTGCCATGAGGTGTGAGGAAATATAAGGAGGTTGAATTTTAACTCGTACCATTTTCATTTTGAGCGATAATGTGAATGATTTTATGTTTGGCGAGGATCAAGAGGTGTTGTAGAAAGGGGGTCATTCAGACGAGTGATGTCTTTTTATCTTATGCGCACACAAAGCATGGCGCGATTGCAACCATTCAACTTAATCCTTGTTTGAAGCTATATCAGCTAAAGACCTCAGAACCCTTTAAAATGAGAGATCTGATTAATTCAAACAATAACATCATCCTCATGCAAGATGCGAAATGATCGTGTTACATATCAAGCCCAAAAACACGGACCCAAACATAGCGATTCAATTCCCGTGGTGGACATGGAATTGATAAAACATGACAGCATGAACCATAAGGCGAGCACTGCTCCCATAAGAAATTCCCCATTTACGCAACAGTTCCCGATTTACATAGTCCACAAATAAAAAAAGATCAAAATGGTTGACCCCATGGAGCTGAAGTATTGGAAGGACTTGATGGATCTTGCCTTCTTCCAAATGGGCAAATCGAAGATAATCTTCCAAAGTTGTTCTCGACATGATACGCCGCAGAGCTGAAAAGATCACGGTTCCCCCATCAATATGGAACTCTACATAGAAATACAGGCCATGAGTCGTCGTTCATGCAAGGAAAGGCAATTGAGACTTACTTAACGCATTGGGTGTATCGCCGTTTGAACCAGTTTTCGAACACTGCAATTGGTCATCAGGAGTAGCTGATTTTTGCTCGCCCAAACGTGAGTTGTCCATTGGGTTGACAGACTCCTGCTTAATCGGAGTGACGTTTCGACTTGGTCTTGATTCCGATTCGCTGAATGCCAGAAAACACAAGTTCTTCGTGAGTTTCTGCTTTCAAATCGTTAGTTTTTGAGAGCAGAAACTCACGAATCTTTCGAAAAACCCAGGTACCCATTGGTTGATTGGGCCTGACGCTTGCGCCTGTGCAAAGTTTGGCTTCGTGTTCTGGATGGTGGGGAGTTCTTTGAGACTTTTTTCTTTCTCAAAGAAGAATCGAATCGCAAAATCGATCGAAAATTTTGGCTTGACCTCCGGACCCAACAGATCTCAAGTGTGGGCCACACTTGAGATCTGTCAAAAGTGGCGCAATCTGCCCCTCGCCTCGTTTTGCAAAAATCTTTGAGATTTTTCCTCCCTCATTTCGAACCAAAAAAAACGCAACAAACGTCCTTGCCAAAAGTCCTCCTCCATCCATTTCGACCATGAACACCGAAATGTCTTACAATTTCTGTGAGTTCTGTGACCTTTAAAAAATCTACATGTACTGACCGACGAAATTTCAGGCGGTCAATTCAATGGCCGAGGTCCTGTTGACCTCGGCGAAAGGCTCAATTCGCCTTCTCAAGGCGGATCACTTCACGGTTTCAATAACCACGGCTTGCTCAGGAACAATTCAAACGGTAAGTGGGCTCTTGTATCGCTATGAATGCATAGGCGTCATTCTGCCTTACGTGACTGAACTCTTGTCCTCTAGAGTTGCACTTGCAGGACTCACCTGGAGGGAGGAATGATGGTGGGAATAATCCTTGTCATTTGGAATTCCAGCGGACTCCCAACCACGAAGCCAACCCAGGCCGGTTAGAGTATCCTAACCGGCGTCGAGAGCGCAATGACCGATCTCGTTCCCCCTCAAGTCGACCCATTGGCACCAACACCGATCCACAGTGGCCATCTCGTGGTCACCCAAATCTTCAAGATTTGCGAGATCTCCGTGAATCTGACTTACCAAACAATACTATGTCAGGTGATGATATTGGCGACGTAGTGGCCATGTATTCATGTCCACTCAGCGGACCCACGATGCGTTCTTTTCAGGACATGGCGACACGGGCCGGTTTGGAAGGCCCGTTTCATTCATACGCTAAGGACCAAGCGGAGGTGAATGTCCTAGGCCTCACTCTGATACATCGGGCCTTTGTTTTCTTGTTCTTTATGATTTTTCGGTCATTATCATTTTTATATTCTTTTTTTTTTCGGGTGTTTATCTGAATTTTGTATCTTCAAAATGCTTGCTAGGTATTTGGCAAAAATAATCGACATTTGGCTCAAGTAACTGCCAATTCGAAACTCCTAATGGAGATCTTACGCGTCAACAGTAAGATTGACACAATGTCTGACCAACTGGCCACGATGACGAGGGCAGTCATGGCCCTCGCCTCGCCACCAGAACCAGGACAGGCTCCCGCTCCCGGATCGGCTACCGCACGAGCCTCAGAATCCGCTCCAGCTGAAACAACCGTGAGGCCAAAGTGGTGCGCAAGCCCCAAACTTATTGTAAGTCATTTTCACTTCGCATCGATCGTCTTTGGAAGGCTGCTAAGATAATAATGTTGTTTTCCAAGGGTTTGATCAACCCCTTGGCGCTTAAACTACTTTTTTCCCCGCTGATCGAGGGGTATACGGCTGTCGAAAACGGGTTGGAAGGGTACCTACCAAACTCATTATTCAATAGTATGAAGGCAAGTCACCAAATCAGGCAGATGATGACAATTGTTCTTATCTGACTCGCTCTATTTTGTATACTACAGAAAAAAGTTGCAAAAGAAGGGGCGGCATTTGCGGCCGAACACCTTCCACGCCAAACCTGTGGAGTGGAAGAAGCCCCCGACACACAAGCGTATTGTACCGCCCTGAGATTAGCTGCCAAACACGCCAGAGAAAAGTTACACAACGTGGTAGGTTGTGTTTCATTCTCTCATTTGTCAAATTTGGGATCAATTCAACTGAAAACAACATCAGCTCTTGGTAGGCATCTATGACCCTAAAACCAAAGACCGAGTTGATATACCGGTTCCCCATCTCAAAGGAATGGTCCAACGAGTAAGTTATCACACTTCTCTGGATGTACATCATCTGATCATCTGTTTATATTTAAACTCTAGGTTGCTGTGAGGTGTGCCGTTGCTGGGGACAAAGCCGAAGTAGACGCAGTGTGGGCAGCCACCGATCGGCCCACACGCGCGCAAATCACCTATCTTGTGAGTCAAAGGATACTATGAATTCAATAAAACTACTCGCTCATATACTTGTATTTTGTGCTCAGCGTCGAGAAGCGGCGCGCGTGATGCTAAAAGGGGGTAGAGGTTCTGAGTCTGTTTGGGCTGCAGTCGATAGGACGCTTTCCGAGTTGCGATTGAAGGCAAATGAAGACTATACTACCGCGTGAGTAATATATGTATATATATAAGTGTTTTCATCTTTCAGACATGCTGACATCGTTACCAACGCAGCTTTTATCAAATAATCTATGACGAGGATTGCAAGTATTTTGATGGGAAAAATTGGTTTAAGAATCTGAAAGCACGCGAACCAAAAGTCACATTGGACTTACCATCCGAGGAGGCCATCATGGCGCGCATGTCTGAAGCCGGGCGGAATCCGACTCCATCTGGATCTCATCCCACCTCGATCGGGAATCCACCAGCAATTTAACAAAACCATCTCATCTCTTGAAGTTTATCCCATCAATAAAATACAAAGTTAATAAACCATCATACTGGTTATATTTTTGATTTCTTAATTGCGCGGAGCTCCTCTCTATAATCAAGTACATAGACTGTTACTATGAAATGAATCATACATTGGATTTCATAAAGTGCTGTGCCTGTGCCCGCGAGCAGCGTCAGCTGATCTGACCTGATCTGACCTGATCTGACCTGATCTGAGCGATTTGGTGCCTACCCGAGCGAGGTCCGAATTTCTGAAAATGACCCACAAAGTGAATCCGAGAGCTGAGTACCCGGAGATTGTGTCGGGCCATTGAGCCTGCTGACCGTCGGCAGCCAGTTTCCAGCCAGCCTGCAGGCAAAAATCAGCCGGCCTGCAGGCGAGGCCAGCAGGCGTCTGGCAGGCGTCTCGCGTGAGGGCCATCTGCAGACGGCCTGCCCCTATGCAAGCGCCGGCGGTCTGCCGCTGGCCTGCCTTGGCCGTCTGTAGCCGGCCAAGACACCTCTGTGGTGTACCTTGTTATGGCCTTTGGGGCCTTCGCGGGTATCCGACGATACAACACACTGTGAGAATTTTATGATGTTAACCAGTGATTTGTAAAGATACGTTATTTCACAGACATGTTATTTCATTGGACATGTGACTATGTGACAGTTCAAGACAAAAACACGAGGAGGCCAAACAAAACATAGGGAGAAGATGTTTGCACTGCTTTGAAGAAAAACCGTGCAATTACAGGACAACACTCCTGGATGAACAATCAACGAGGGTCCAACCCATTGTTTAAAACTTATGAAACTATCAAGGGTGGGATGTGCACTTCATTGGATTATAATTTCGCAACCACCACATATTCCACATTTTCACGACCGTGCAAAGCGTCAGTAAGCCAGACATTGCGATACTCCACCATTTCCTCCAGGAAGAACTCATAACGTGTCGCTTGCATGTTTCGACACATGGAAGCAAACCCCCCATACCAGATGTTAGACAATTCCCCGGCGGAGGAATTGAAGATCCAGTTTCCGTCCTGTTGCAAGTCGGGGAACAATTTCGGGTCGGTGTACATTTGGCAAAACTGATCGCTCGCCTTGTGAGAGCGGTGATGAAAAGGGTCAACAGGGATGATGGTGTTTTGGAATGGTGCTGGATCCGTTTGACCTTTGTGAATGACTCGCAGGAGATTGCAGGCATTGTCATAAAATATGACTTCAGGAAGTTGGTCGGGGAACGCTTCGACCAGATAGTCCTAGAAAATGTAATGTAATGTATATTATGTTGGATGGAATGGTTATATGTCAACATTAATTTAATCAGACGCCTAGAAATTCGACTGACCCTCAAAGCACTGGGAGCTTCTGCATTGTAGAATGTCTTCTGGCTCAATATAATTCCGCAAGTTCCTACAATTAGTTGATCGTTATGAGTGCGGTTTCGGGACAAAGATGCTGATCCTTTTGGCTTGGCCTCGCCACCATCACGCGCGGCCTCATGGGCGCGATCAGACTCGTCGGCTTGGACGATTTCGTCGAGATCAATGATTTCCGCAGTCAGTGGGTTTAGATGAACGGACGGATCGGATGGCAAGTTCGAACCAGGCCGGTTGAGCATGGATTTGAGCGAAAAATTCTTCTTTTTCTTTGCTTGAAATGCCTCCATTGCTGCTTGGTGGTCTTCGTTGCCACAAACTTTTGACCCAGGGTCGGCGAGGGCGTTGCATGGTTGTGCAATGCACCATCCCTTCAAACTGACCTCATGGTCAGCACAAAATCGAGAGTTGACCTTTGGTAACGGGTTGAGGCATGGCCCATTGGGGGCAGCTCGCCCATCCCGATGAGCAAGCGCTTCAAGCTGCACCGATGAGGCACTACATCGCCAGTGTCCAATTGTAAGACCATCGGTCACAACCGCACGTATCACTGGAAATTAAAAGAGTTCATCAGCTTGAGGGCCTGTGAGTTTCGAAATTACGGCTGACCTTTGGTAGTCACCACTCCTTGGTCTTCAACTCTGTAGCGCTTAAGGCACAACGAGCAAAAGTGGTCACGATAAGCAGACCCATGATTGGCGATGTGGTAGAGCTCTCGGACCATAGCCGGTAAGAATCGGTCGGCGTTTTTCCCGGTAGCATCCATGTAGAGAACGGCGCCACGACGAGAGGTTCAGCGGAGCAAACTGAACAGGTCGACCCCGTCACGGGCCACTTCTTGTGAAATCTTAGGTGTTGATTGTGCTTTGTGAGTCGGTACTTGCTGGCCCTTTGCATAGGTTAGATTGAATAAGTTGACGAGATTGAAGTTGGACATGCTTGTTGGCGAATTATGGGCTATCAATGAAGGGTGTCATGTGTTTCGGTGATAAAAGAATGGGACTGCTCACTGTGCAAGCATTTGCGATTGTTGAAAGAACCTTGCAAGGCGTTTGGACATAGCAAAGTGGCAATGGACCTGGTAGTGGTCTTGATTTGCCCCCTGCGCTTTGGTGTAGTAGATCCTCATCTTTTCGGCAGTATAATAGGAAGGTCGGTAGATGGTACCACAATCTGTAAAGTAATGATTTGGTGAATAACCAAGCTCACTAAATGTCAAAAAACTGAGAAGGCCAAGTGCGGACATACCTAGACAAGCCCAGGTATGGAACTTGGCAGAATGGATACCATCCAGGTCATACAAATATCCTTGTCTACGAGGGCGTTTGGAGAGCGAGGGATGCTTTGGCTGATGACAAACAAGACAGACACTTGTTGGGGGAGTAAGATAAACTTCGTGAATCTGTGTCTTCTTCTTGAGGCTGTCCACAAGTCCGTAGGTACGTATTAGCCCAGTAGAATCGAGGTGCACAAACGGGAGCGATGGGAAAGTGAGGGTCCATAGAGCTTTGTAGTCACAGGGCTCGATTTTGAGCTTTAAGGCAAGCTCAAGAAACGGAATGATACGGTAATCACATGAGGTGAACTGGAAGACTTTGTCGCTGCGGATGTACACTGCACTGGCAAGATCAAGAAATTGTGCGAGGTCGGTGAGCGTTATACGGGTGGTGAGGTGTGGATGTTGTCGGTTGAGCTGATTCACAAAGTCCATTAGCAGCATGATGACCGAACACAAACAATTGACTGAAGGCCTTCTGTCAGGGTAACACCGCCAAAGAGGTAAGAGATATGGTCAGTTGGCAAGTGGGTGAAAGATAATAGGAAGGAGGGTGGGTGATTGTACTTACACTGAGGAAACAATGACTGCCAAAAGAGGACGCGTCCAAGGGCAAGAACGAGGTCGGTTGTATTGTATGCGTGGCAGTGTGGTCCCGAGGGTGGAGGGCAAGAAGACGCGGGGGCGCTGGTTGCAGTATATCGGTATATCCCCATGAATGTGGGAGAAGATGGAGGTCATGTTTGCCGCAGGCAATCACGTGTTATCCCCGCTGGTTGACCTGTGGGTGGTTGTATTAGCGGATATAAGCATTGGGGGAGTCATGGCTTATGGCCTTAGGCCGGCCTGGGAATTCCCAGCTGAGAATTCCCACGAAAAATCCGAAAGTCCGCTCTACCCTATTGCTCGGCGACTTTGGAGGTGTTATTGGTTTCAACGCCGAGTTCCCGGATGGATGTGGTAGAATCGATACGGGCGGATGGTAAGATATCCCAGGCCAAACTCCAGAGGCTGTGGATGAGTGGGTGCGGGAACGCTGGTTTGAGCGCCACGAGGAAGAATTTGGCGACTGGTAGTCGGTACGATCAGAGTCGAAGTCCTTGGCCAGCGCGCTGTTGGACTTCGGATGCAAGCAACATGAAGTGCACGAAGTCCCCTACCGTGAGTGTGGTGCTGAGTTGAGGAGTCGTCCTTGTAAGATGGGCTACAAATTCGGTGAGCAGCATAATGTCGATCAGAGGGAGGGGATTGCTGAAGAGGGATTGAGTGAGTAGTTGTGGGTTGAGGGTAAGTTGGTGGGGGAGAGGGTGCGTGTGAGGAGTCATCTCGCGTCGCGAGGCGTGGGAGGTGACACCTCAAGGGGTACCTCTGCCCACAAGTGGGCCACGTGGTCTGCTTGGCATACAGAGCTTATGCACGGCACCCATGATGCTTAAGTGGTAAAGGCCAAAGAGATTTATCGTACACTTTACATATACGGTTGACTCACGTGGACCCATAACCCATGGGGTTGTAAGGGTTTATCAGCATTATCAGAAATTATCAGGATTATCAGGTTTGCACCTGCAAAAACCCTGATCCTACAGTCTACCCGCAGTGATGATCTTGATCAACCAATTGGCTCAAATTTAGATTGGCTACACTGGCCAATGCTTCGAAATGTTCAAACGCTTATCATGTCTCATTTTGGGACACGGGATTATTGGAAAGCAGCTTTCTAGACAGCTGGCGTGAACGCTTTTCAGGGAGTACCAAATCTGCAACACATGATATTCACCCGCGGATCGCCTGAAGATTCTGAACTGAGTCAGGCCTTCAAATTGCGCGGGGTACAGTGTCACTTCACATACTCCACAAAATCTGATAGAATCATGGTCCGTATGGATTCCGCTTTTGTAACAAAATTCCAAAGTATAAGCCTCATAAGACATGCTGATCCTTCCAATTGATGACTAGGAACTGGCGTCTACGTTCAATGATCTATAATATGGATTACCACAGTATATTTCTCAACCAAACAAAATTAGGTTGCCTTTGTATATACATCGATCTGTTTCTTTGAAAAAAGTGAATATATTTATTTAGAAACTCAAAATCAGTAAAATTCTCAAATTCAAACTACATGAGGACAGCCTATTCTTGGAGCTACAAAACGGTGTTTATGATTGCCGGTATCTCAAAATCACGACGCTATGAGTTTTCTTGATTTCAAGGCTTCTTCTCTCCAGGGCAGTGGAGATTCAACGCCCCAACCTTCAACAATAGTATACTTGAGGTGAATTTTAGATATGAGTCATAAATGTTTGTGGGTCCAATTCTGATTTCTGTCTGAGTATGAAATGAGTAACTTGCCATTTTGAGAACCAATTCCCAGACCCTCTTTGAGATTCCAGATTCCTATAGAGAGCTATTCAGCATCAATTGTTGTGCATCTATGATTTGAATTGCGTTTACAGGGAGATCTTGGTGGCATGGAACATTATTGGAATATGCTGAAGGGCGCAAGTGGCAAGTGATACAGGTTTTGGGGTCTTGAAGGTTGTATGCCAAAGCCCATGCTGTTAAGGGAAGAACCAGAATTGATGTTTTGTCACGCTGTCAGTGATTGCCTAAGCCACATGAGTAATTGTGACGAAGAAAGAGAGATCACAACTGATGGAAAACAATCTTGACTGAAATATGTTTGCCATCAATGGCTGAAAGATGGCATCAAGTTTACCAACCATAATCTTCAACGAGGTGACAAAAGAAACTGCAAAAAGACAGCACAAAACTGTTAGTTTTGGTAGAATGTGATTATGTGTCTGATGGGATTTGAACCCATGGCCGCAGTGCTAACCAAGACACATACTAGAGTGCTACCTTTACCACTAGCACTCCGGTGGCGCTGACACTACATGCAAACAGCTGATGCTCCGGATTTGAGGTGGATGTGGCATTGACCCCCTGCTTTGGCAAGGCCTCCCCTTTGCTTTTGTGCGGCGTCAGCACCTTGCATGTAGTGTAGGCTACAGACACTTGTAGATGCCAATGTTGTCACTGTGGTGGCTACATGTGTATACAATACAGCTCCACCAGACTGCAAGTGATTAATCATGCAAGCACACATCCAGCAGCTCAACAAAAACCAGGTCCATTCTTTTTCACAAGACTTAAGATATCAGAATGAATGACTGTACATAGTACCTCAATGCCCTGCAGACTTAGTGCTGTTGAAAGCAGCAATTGTCAAGATTGAGAACTCAAATTCCACCAAATGGGAAATCACCACAACATGGGGTGTCATGTGAAAAATACAAGACACATCAAAGTTCAGTACAAATCAAAAAGTTTGAGGATCAAGAAAGCAGAAAACACTTCAGTATTCTCATTTCTCTCAATCTCCTCCTCACCGCAAAGTCAAAAGACACTTACAATAGATATCAAAGATGTCAAAAGAGACCTAACAATCTCACACCACATTACATGCTGAGCTACTGTTGGACATTCTAACAAATATCTTGGACTGTTATGTTTATCAATTTGATGCAAGCGGAGGTTCTTCAAAATATCACCCTAACCCTTGGTATGCCATTGGTTTGATCATACAAATATATTTTCATGCAATCAGCTTGTGGAGTTTGAAACACGTAAAAGTTATTCTCAATAACTGGACTCATTCAATGTATGGCACAATAAAGTCATGCTCTGTTAGGCAACTTTCTATTAGAAAAGTGGGGTACGCAGAAACCAGACCCAAAAGACGTAAAGACAAAGGTGAAACACCTAAGTACTTGTGCGCACATGCACCCAAGGTAAAGTTCATTTATCTCATCAGCATACACACCACAACTGACAAAATTTGACCACTCTCATACCTCTATTGGAGAAAATTTCACTCATCTTCATTCAACTGTCTTGATTTCACTCCAATCAATTTGTGCGCACAGATGCACAAGTTAACTTCACTCCAAACTATCAGCTTACACATTGAATCCATCACATTCCAGCCATTGTTAAACCATTCACTTGATTATCACCAGTACTTCATGCCTCTCAGTGAACCTCTCAACCTTCAATTTTAACACACATGTAATGCATATACTGGACATACTTAAATACTTAGCTTCTCCACGTCACAACTCTTTTATGGATTGTTCAAAGCTCTCTCTACACTTCACAAAGTACTTCCAAAATCACATCATCATGGCAACTACCTCAAACCACAAACACCAGGTCTCCGGCAAACTCAAGACCTCCAGCAAGCTTTCAACCGACACTCAAAATCAGACATGCAGCAATCAATAAAAGCGCCCCAGGCGCACCACTTCCAAATGCAGCACCCTATTGGCTTCCAAGAGAGTCAGACTCACTGTACAGCCATCCAACTCCACTGATTTGAACGACTCTGACAATCAGGACCAAAAGGATTCAGATGACTTGGTCAATTCATCAGATGATGATAATGTTAACTTACAAGAAGATGAAGATGAACCCCAGCTGACCATATTCATAAGATCATCTCAATGGACTAAACACATCAAACCCAACAAGGCTAACCTCACCCTTGAGAAGTATAACAATTTCAACTTGGACATCCCCAAAATCAACAACCTCATCTCTGCTGCTGGGCGCAAAACACACAATTGAATTTTGCCTCTGGTCCAGAAGGAGTTGAGAAACATACAGTTTACGTATCAAAGAGCAAAGAAGTTACTGGCAATTTGGCAATAGTTGCTCACTGTAGTGAACACAAAATTAATGAATTCTTGCAAGTCTCATCATCATCATGCCTCAAATCATATCATTATCTTACCTATTTTCCTTTGTATCACTCCAGGCATGAAGTCACCACTTAAACAAAATGGATAACCTATCAATCATTCCAGAAGTCCAGCTCTGAGGGTGCAAACACTACAAGTGAGTGGCTCTTTGACTACTCACTCCACTTTCTTTAGACCTCATATTTATACACATGCTTCACACAGTGCCAGCCAGGAACACTTAGGAAGAATTTAAAGAAAGGAATCAGCATGTGGGGTATAATTGGACAAACCATGAACCAGATGAGGACATATTCAACAAGCAACATTTTTTCCCCTTGGCTATCTTGCAAGCAGATTGGACCAGCCACCTGTCAACCTAGAGGGTAAGCGCACTTACCCCATAGGTTGAACAAAAAACACATAAAAATATATAATATACAAAAGTACATCTCACATTTGAGTTTCAAGAGTGGAAAGAATAAGATAATTAAAATTAAAATAAGAAAAGAAAACCCAGTCAGGGTTTGTACCCTGACTGGTTCAAAACTACAACGAAGAATGCCACGGCAGCCATTTAATAACTAGACTCGTTCGTAATAAATGACGCCACTAGGGTATACAAACCCTGACCAGGAAAAAAGCAACCTTGCCTTCAGATACTAACTGAATACTCAATCTATTGGTATAAATAGAAACAAAACTCACCTCAAACAGAGAAGAATCATCTTATACTTTACACCACAAAAACCTTTCATCAATATTAGAACTTTACAAACTCTATATCAACACAATCTAAAAACCCCAGCCAAATACTTCATCTGCTTAACACGTAGTAATATCTAGTCCATTAGCTCAGTGTGGGTTTTTGCACTATCCGTACTGATTTTGTAAACTCTACTTCTTTGAATACAAGCTCACCAAATTAAGGATCAAATCCCTTTTTTCCTCTTGTTGAAGATTTTCTCAGATCTCTTTTGATAAAACGTTTGTTTCATCATTCGAGTAGAATTAGACCACCCTGAGATAGGAGTACCTTAGTACCCATCTGAAGAAGACCACTTGGTATACCAGGACGTATAAAAGTGAGTATGTTGTTAACATCAGTAGTTATTAAAAGAATAGAATAACTAACAATAACAAGATACTTTGAAACTTAGGCTTGAATTTACTTCTACTAAACATTTCCTACAATTAGTAGTAACAAAGCCTCAAAACTTGAAATTGTAAGTTTATCATTTAGCTTTGAAGGAACCATTTCTGGGTCTCAAGCTGACACCACCAAACAAACCAAAAACTGAACCTTTGGATGCCAAATAAAAAGAGAAGTTCTGCCAATTTTCAAACAATCAGTTGATTTGGACAAGGTAGTGCATCATCTTGGTCTGGATAAGTTTGGTCCCCACCTTCCAACTGCACAACAGAACAAGGGTATTGAAGCAATTACCCAGATTAAGCACAAGGTAAGAAATATGTTGACCCAAAGCTCATATTCTTGAGTTATTGAATTCCTGATTTTCAATCTTTCAGCTCCAGATCATCCACATCTGTTATGGTGTTGACTTTTCACTCATGGCCTCTTCTTGGAATCCAAACACTCACAACAAAAAAAGCCAGTGGAAAATGCAAGCATCATCCTCTGACAATTGGATTGCATTGACCAACAGCAAGTGGAAACTACTCAAACACTTTGTCCAACATTTTGACCAGTTGGAACTCAAGACTAAACCGGTCCACCACAAGAAACCTCAGGCCTGTGACAAGCTGGAGTCGCATCTGACGGCTGAGCTGAACAGGCTATGTATTTGTTACTCAGAGTGCTTATAAGATAAGGCTTCAAGGATGCATACACTACACAAGATGTCATCTTTACCAGGCGGTAAAGAAAACTACTGACATAGAAAAGTCCTGAGGAAACAGGAAGAGAGCTAAAAATCTGAAAAAATATGCACCTTGTTCCTAGATGTTGGGGCGTCATGACAAGTATTTTTTTGTATTTTACACACAGATATTGGTTAATGTACTAACAATAAAGGCTGAGAATCATCAAAAACCCACCTGTAACAATACCTGAAATTTGGCCCTTGACTTTGAAGACAGGATTTTGGAATCTTCAAATATCAATAACTTTTGAAGTTCTGGATCAAATCACTCGATTTAAAGTGCATTGCAAAGGTGAGTCTTTCCTCTACATTTTTCATTGAGACATCATATCTGTAGCTGGTCTAAAAAAGATCCTACAGAGCTATTCATGCAGAACTGTTTGAACATATGTAGAGTGTTTAAATGACTAGATAGCACCTTACTAACATTATGAAGTGTGAAGGAGAATAGTTCAGCTTTTGAATGAACCAACAATCGAGTTATTTGGAGCAGAATTGCAAAAGTTATTGAAGTTTTTAGACCACAAAATATTGTCTTCATACTCATGACCCATATTTCAGGTATTGTTACATGTGAGTTTTTGATGATTTTCAGCGTTTATTGTTAGTACATAAACCAATATCTGCGTGTAAAATACAAAAAAATACTCATCATGACGCCCCAACATCTAGGAACAAGGTGCATATTTTTTCAGATTTTTAGCTCTCTTCCTGTTGCCTCAGGACTTTTCTATGTCAGTAGTTTTATTTACCGCCCAGTAAACATTACATTTGGTGTAGTGATAACAGTTCATTCTGATCAGCTTTCCCTTCCGGTTCAAGTGAGGTTTGTTTGTAAGGGAAGCACCAAAATTCAAAAAACTACATAATGGCACTTGATTCTTGCAATGTTCATGCCAGAAGTTCACAATTATTCATAAGCCCCTCTGCAAGGGCACAGACACAGTCACACAGAGAAGGCTTTGTTAAGCTAATTTGGAGCTACTTGGTGCATTGACCAAAATGGGGGGATGGTGTCTCAACCAGAATCCCTCCCAAAAGTCTTGACTTGTGGGATACAAAGTTAAAACTGGGATTTTTTTCCCAGTTTCCCAGTTTTTGTTTTTGGCTGTGTTGGGAACTTTCCCATGTTCTCCCAGTTTCCCAGTTTGCGTTTTTGGCGGTATTTGGGAAACTGGGAAACTGGGAAAAAACTCCCAGTTTTAACTTTGTATCCCCTAACTAAACTTATCAAATCCCCCCTGCCTGAGTAGTCAATAATGGATAATCAAGGAAAAAATCCCAAAACTCTTCTTGTTATGAGTTGAAGGGTATGACTTTAACTGTAAGTCCCTCCCTCAACTACTCAGACAGGGGGGGCATTGATAAGTTTATTACAGCCATTAGCCAGTCTCAAACCAAACCTGGTTGCCAAAAAACCCTGATACACCTGGTTGTCTTTTTGGCTAGGAGGTGTCAAAAATGTCAACTCAATACACAAGTTACCGCCAAAAAAGCAACTGGGTGTACCAGGTTTTTTTGGCAACCAGTTTTGGTTCAAGACCAGCTATTTTGAAAGATCTATGAATAGATTTGAAGAGCATTAGGGGGTCTCAAGTCAGAAAACTTTGGTGAAACTTTTAAAAAACAAAAAAGTTTTCCAAATTTTACAGTGTTTTTTTTTCTCCAAATATACAGTCAACAGCATTCAGGATACCTTTTTAGAGCTCCTGATTTTTTTAAATTTACAGTGTATTTTGCAACATCAGACAACTTGTTGGACTGTAAAATACCATAAAGTTCTTGACTTCAAACCCCCTATTTTACAACAACAGGCAAGTTGTTGTTGTAGCATAAAAATACGTAAAAATCTTCAACTTGAACCCACCCATGTTAATGAAATGTAAAATAAATAAATCATCTCAAACAGAAACCAATTCCATTCAATTCAATCCCATTCAATTCGAAAAAAAAATGAAATTCCATAAAAAAAAGAAATCATAAAATGAAAACCCACAAATCATCAAATTAACTATTTTTTTATTTTAAAAATATACACAACCTTTCAAAAGAATCAATCAATCAAAACAAAAGAATCAAAAATGTGACCAGTCAAAAAAATCAAACGAAAACATAAATCATTTGATAGATTTGATATCAATATTGATTTTTGATGTTTTTGATTTCTTCTTTCTTCAGTAACCTAGCATTGCTTTTCTTTCATTCATTCTCTTCTCCATTTCCATTTTGATCATCACCACCAGCATCTTGATTAACAGCACCAGAACCATAATCATCCCTCATAACGTCCTCCGAAGCATACGCACAAATAATCACTCTCCCTATCGTCGCAAAAAAAACAATCCCAATCAATTCTTCTTCTTCTTCTTCTTCTTTACATCTTTTAATCAAAAAAACTCACCAGCAAATTGTCGTCCAGCAATCGCCGAAAGCGCTTGAGCACAATCTTCAATCCGTTCAAACTTAATAAACACTTTTCCTAATCCTTCAATCGATTCAGATGATTTTAAATCCATTCTACCTTTTTCATTCTTCGCAGGTCTTGGAATCTTTACATCTTCAATTTGTCCATATTTACCTATTGGATTCAATTCAAAAAAAGAAACATCAATCCTTTTTTCAATCAAGTTCTCTTTTTAGAGAAAAGAATGTAAGTCGATAGAAACACAAAACGTACTACATTCTTCCTTAATATCTTCCAAAATCTCCTTATACTCTTCATCATCCACCAATTCTTCCGGATTCACCATATTCAACATCTGTAAGACCTTTGTCCGTTCACCTTCACTAGCCTTCACAGCTGCCAAAACACTAGCAGCCGCTGCTGTCGTATTCGGATTATTACTCATCAACTGATGACTCATCTGATGAACCCCACCAGCACCACCCACTCGATTAGTTCCATTAAACCCACCCACTCCCATCCCTGCTCCTCCTGCTCCTTCAGCATTCTCTTTTTCCTTCTTTGCATTCTGACCAATCTGAGCTCTTTGAACCACCAAGTATCGATCACCTAATTCCATCCCATTCAATCCTTGACACGCAATATCCGTCAAATCCGAATCCACATATTCACAAAACGCAAACCCTTTCGAAACTTGTCCTCCACTACTCGTATCTTTCACTAAATTAAAGGATTTCAATTCTCCAAACGATTTTAATAATTCCATCACTTGATCATCCGTTAAATAAGATGGTAATCCTCCAATAAAGATCTTGTTAGGTGAATCCGGTACGTTCGTAGACACCACTCCGGGTATATGATTCGTACTGGTATGTTCGGTACCTGTATAATCTTTCGGTCTTCTAATCTTTAATGCTTGGTTTTGAAAAATGATCCCATCAAATGACATTCCATGAGTGGCTTCTTCTGCATTTCGAAACTATTTCAAAAACAAAAAACGCAATCCGTCAGAAACCTTCTTCTTCTACTCTCTTTTCCCCTCCATTCAATTTCTTTCAATCAAAATCGTCTTTTCAATCTGAACTTACTTCCACAAACGCATAATTCTTTTCGTGATTCACTTGAACTGCTACCACCGGATTCTCACTAATCGAAATCATAGATCCATCCTCCCCATTCCTCACCAATAATCCAAGTTCTTTCATCTTCGCATTAAAGAATTCCGCTACATTCATCTCATTAGCCGTATGCAAGATATTCCCTACATATAACCTTCTAGCTTGTCTAGCAAACGATTGAGTTTGTGCCACCGGGCCAGATTGTCCTTGAGCCGGTTTAAAATGAATCGGTGGTAATGATCCTCCTTGTCCGTCTCGTTGTGATGATGATGAGATTGGTAAATGAGATTGCTGTGAATGTGGATTGGGATATTGATGTGATGGGTGATTATTCCATTGAGATGGATGAGTGTTCGGTCCATGATTAAATGAATTAGGTTGGTTTGAAAGTTGATGTCCATTTGGGTTTTGACCATTCATCGAACCTCCCGGTGCAGTTGACATAGGTCGAGTTTGTCCAGGAAGCATAAATGAACCTACCAATCCAACATCAGATTAATCAATTTGAATCGAATGACATCATCAGATTCGATTCGAAAACACATACCTGAGATTTTAGCCTCTAAAGCCGATAAATTCTCATACCCAGGAGCCTTCACATCCCAAGCAGTATATTTCCTTGGTCTTTTTGAAATCGGAATCGTTCCTTCAGGAGTAGGACTTCTTCTAATATTAGGACTACCAAACACACCACCATCCGCACCACCCCCGCCGCCGCCACCACCTCCTCCAAAACCACCCCCACCACCTCCGCCGCCGCCGCCGCGCCTTCTTCCACCACCATTGCTAGTATCATCTCGACGAGCAAACCGATCCCGATCCCGATCCCTTTCTCTTTCCCTATCACGATCTCTTCCACGATCCCGATCTCTATCCCGATCATCATATCTAGACCCTCTTCGATCCCGATCCCGATCCCGTTCTCTATCTCTATCACGTTCCCTATCCCTATCCCTATCCCTGTCCCGATCACGTTCTCGATCATCATAACGACTTGAACGTTCATCATATCTTCCACCTCGATCATCTCTTCTGCTTCTTCTCTCTTCTCTGAAATCCAATCATATTCAATATCATAAGCCAATCAAAAACGTGATCTCTTTTTGATTTGATTAGAAGAAAACAGACTAACCTATGGGGTGAACGCGATCTACGACGTGATGATCGATCTTCATCTGCAACACTTAATCTGGAAGACCGATGAGAACGATGTCCTAAAGAAACCATATATTTGTTTTATCATAAATAGGAGAAAAAAAGGTAAAGAAGTTTATAAGTTTTGTTTGGTTGATCATTAGTGTTGTTGTTTTTTTGTCAAAACGGATGTAAAAAGATTCATAAATCAATGATGGGGAAAAAAAGAAAATCCAAAAAACAAAACAAGAGACACGATAAGTTATTCGTAATCAATCTCTCAAACTAAACTTCATATAACCAAAAAAAAAGTTTTAAATGATTTAAAACACACACCAAAAACTAAAAAAAAATTGTGTTTTTTTTGTCGTGATTCGATTCAAAGAATCCTATATGTATCTAGCTATATGCTGAAGAAAGAAAGGGAAAGGGGGAAGAAGAAGCTAAAAAAAGAAAAAAGAGGGAAGAAAACCAAAAGTTGGTTGAACGTTTTTTTCTGATGAATATGAGATTCGACGATGTAGCCTAACTGTGAAATGAAACTCCAAAAAAAATTGGTGAAAGTAAAACTTTGTATAAAATATCATATATATCTTTCAATCAAGAAAGAAGGAAAAGCAGGAAACCGAGAACGATGAAAAGGAAGAATAAAAAAGAGAGAGATAGAAATGAAGATAAGATGACACTAACCTCGATCGTCATGTTGTAATTCTCTACCAACTGAAGATAAGAAAGCTATCAAAAGTAAAATCAGATTAGTTTGATTATGAATGACTGAACCAAGTCAAGTGACTGACCTTCTGCCATTCTTGATGGAAATGGAGTCTTGAGAGTTAGTTGGTAAAGGGTTTGAATGAAAGTTGAAGTGGAAATTCTGAGATGCGGGATGACAGGTTGATTTTAGTGTCTAAGTACTTAGGATTAAACCAATATTAACCTTTTCTTTTCAAAATTCAAAAACCCATCTCCTTCAACTTCAGAACACACACATTCTCATCAGAACATTTTATAACAACCAACAAGATGAAGGGAATCTTGAATAGTAAGTCACTTTGAACATTCATATCACAAGCACAACAAACTAATCATCCTCATCCATGACCATGACCATGACCATCAGTCTGTTCATTCACAAATCCATTCAAACTCATCCCAACCCAACCCTTCAGATCACATTCAACTCTAAGCACCAATCCAACCCCGACGACCAACACTCTACCACAAAGACCTACCTTACGATCATCCTTAAAACCCTTAACACCAAGCTCATCCATCCCTACCTCAAAAGCCCTAAGTCTAATCAAATCAGAACCATCATCATACATCAAAGCATCAATCCTAGGAAAACTCTATCGATTATCCCAACAAGACGTCCTAACTGTACCATACATTAAAGATCTAAGGGTAGGAGATGTGATCAGGTTAACTAAACTGGTCGAAATAGGATCTAGATCGTTCACATTCAGATCTACCGATGCTTCATCAACTCAAGTCACACTGGATAGGTTTTGTCAGGTTAATGCTTTGGTCGTCGAACATTCTAGGGGGATTATGTTGAAGACTGTGAAGAAGAAAAGAAGGAAAGGGTATTTGAAAACTATTAAGAATAAACCGTATTTGTTGAGTCAAACTTTTGTTTCTTTGGCTGTGTGGGTGGTTGTGGGATGGGATGACTAATTTAGCTGGGTTCTGGGTTTCTTTTTGTAGTACTAAATTGAGGATATCTGGAATTGAGTTTAAGTGTGATGAAAATTCAAGTTGAAAAAATCTTTGAAATATTGATCATCTTATGATTCTTGACTTTGGAGTTTGTGTATATTCCAAATTTGATTTGAAAAAAATTGTAAAGGTTCACAATAAACAAGAAAAAAACATGTTCTGAATGAATTTGTTTATTCAAGAAGATTTATTATACAGAACATCTATAGAAAAAAACAACGTTAAACCCATCTGAATGGAAATTCTTTAACAAACCAAAAATCAACATTGAAAAAGTTACATCAATCACATAAAGACATAAATTGTAAATTATGAATCAAGTTTTTGACCAAATCACAGCATGAAAAACCAACCAAAATGAAGAAAATCTAATCAAAAAAACAATTCCTCTAAGAAAGAAAAAACCCTTCAAAAAAAGAAACCAAATTGGTTTTTCTCATACTCATTCTTGTTTTAAAAAAATCATAAAACCAAATCAAATCATACAAAACCTTATAAGGATGTGTTCACTTAAGCATTCTGTTCAGAAATTACAAAAGTCAATTTGCCTCAAGTTGAATTTAACTTCATTTTTTTTTAAATTAAGATCTCTATACTTCTTTTTGGGTCTTTGAAACTCATGTTTTTCTTTTGGATTAAACTTTAAGTGAATTGGGTCATCAAACGATTGTTTTAATGATATGATATTGATATATAAAGAATTTTGAGCCTGTTTGAGTTGAAAATAAAAAAAAAAAAGTCATTCAAAAGACAAACTTACTGGCTTTCTATAAACACAATTCTCTTTAGTATCAAATTGATAACTCACACCAATTGAAGTATTTCATAAATCTGTGTTGTTTAACCAAGACACATGAAGGTCTTGGTTTTTTTCTGGTGTCTTACACTGTGATCTGAGATTTCCTTATTGCTTTCTCATGATTGTAAGCTCAAAAATGGTGAATTTACTTGGTTTTTGGTGTGTGTGACATACATATTTCCTAGATTTCGTAAACAAGAAAATCATCAAAAGAAGTGTCTGAGAAATTCCAAGTCTTTCTGTAGTGTCAATGATCATAATTATGCTGCAAGAATATCTCTAAGTCATGATTTGAAGGAGTTTTTGACGATAAGTGAGAAGAGAGGATTGATTGGGTTGACTTTATCAAGAACTACTCGAGCAGGGGGGAGTTTGATAACTTTATTATCAAGAAGACTTTTGTGTGATGGTGATTCGGGAGCGGTGATTGGAGAGTGGTGAGGTTTGTTGAATTCTTGAACTGGAGTGTACGTCTTTTTCGAATCCTCGAACGACTGAGCCAAAAAAATATTGAGTCTCAAGGAGTCTCAGATATGTATCCAAGATCGTCTACAGTCGGGGCACTTTAAAAGCTCATGATAAGAAACCTTTTCTCAACCAATACTGAGCTCAAAGAATCCCCATTAAAAAGTTGACTTGTTCTCTACTCTTTGACTGTAGTTTCACAAACCATGCAGGAACCATTGAACTTTCGGTGTGCGATATCCGATCTAGTGGTAAAAGTAATTCAAGAAACTTACCAAACCCTTCCTAAGAATGGAAAACCGATCAAACGTGATGATGGTCGAACAGAATTTACAATCCTAGCTGGAATTGTTCTGATCGACAAAACAGCTCATGATGATAATCATAAAGAAGAAAATGAAGGAAAAGGGTACACAACACTTTGTCCATCTCTAGCGTAAGTAAGTTAACTATTTATTCGCTACTTGAAAGATAAATCGATCAAACTAATTGAAAATTTCTTTCTTCATATGTATGGGTCTGAAGAACTGGAATGCGTTGTCTTCCTCAAGAAAAGCTCAGTTTACAAGGTGATTTATTACATGATTCTCATGCTGAAGTACTTGTCAAACGAGGTTTTCGTCTTTGGTTATATGAAGAACTCAAACGAAGCTATGAAATTGGAATCGGATCAGCTTGGATAAATCGACCATCAGATTCCAAAGATCATTTCTCACTCAAGAAATCTGTTCAAGTTTTCTTTTATGTTAGTACTTTACCTTGTAAGTCTCTTTCTTGTTTTATTTAGAATAATTTCGATTTCTTCACTTCAGTCTAGCACGTTTGATGATTTGGTTCTGATATCGAGTTATTATTTTATACATATCGGCAAATGGAAAGGCGGTGACGCTTCAATGTTACTCACATCACAACAAGTTAGCGAACAAAGTCGGCCGATCAAAGGCCCAGAAGAATCTATCTCTTCCGAGTTCAGCATCGAATATCAAAAATCGATCTCTAAGAGTTTAGGTACTCTTCATGTATCACGTGGTCGACTTGGATTTGATCAACCTATTGGAAAATTACGTACCAAACCAGGTCGAATCGATTCTCCTCTATCTACCTCACATTCTTGTTCCGATAAACTTGCACTTTGGAATGTGATTGGACTTCAAGGAGCTTTAGGTTCTAGTATCCTTCAACCTATTCATATCTCTGGTTATGTTTTTGGAACTTGTGACGTTTCATCTCAACTAGATCTACAAACATTACATTCAAGTCTTAGATACGCCCTTATAGATCGTGTTAAGGCATACTTGCGTAAGATGTACATTTCTTACTTCTTCATTCGCCTACCAGAGGAACTTACCCTACTTTCTTTTTGTAGCAGCAGACCATTGCCCGCCCGAAATATGGTTCACCTTCCAAGATTTTGAGTTTTCTCAGAAATCAGTGGCAAAAGCTACTGGCACATCTCCAGAACTAAACGACCGGGTAGTATCAACAGTGAATTGTGAATTTTAATCTGGAAGCCAATCATCATCTCAAGATCTCCAGAAGCTTATCAGACCTTCACTATACTTTCATAGGTCTTTCATTTGTGTCTGGTTATGGCACAGAAGTGATCGATCGACATGGCTCAAGACAAGGAGCACCTAAAAAACGACGAGCACCTGAATCTCCACTTTCACCAAAGACTCGGTCAGTCAAAAACACTCCTCTCATTTATTAAATCATCGGTAGATTTGATTTTTGGCCGTTGTCTGATTTCTGTGTGGGTATCTTTCAAAGATCAAGATTGAGCAAGTTAGAACTTTATAGAAGATATACCGACACGTTAACATTTCTTGGCTTGAGAACGGATCATCCAACCAAAAGGTACGTAATCACATGTGACCAAACCACCGCAGACTTGTAAAGTTTAATGTATCTCAATTATTTGCAGTTATAACCAAGCCAAACACCCACAAATAAGTGAAAATGAACAAAACTCTTTAACACAAAGAGTATTGGAATACCAGACTAGAAAGTCTTTACTTCGAGATCTTCCAGACGCTGCTTTTTATGGTTGGATCATTCATGGTGCTCGATGGGAAAACTTTGATATAGAAGGTCGCATCATGTCTCGAACTGAAGTTATGGAAACCTGAGATGATTTGTGATTTTAGCTGCTTGGAATCAGATGTTCGAGTGTATCTTTATTTTGATCCGAATGTTAAAGATGTATAACTGGGGAAATGTCTTAATAGTGAAAACATGATTATCCATATGATGAAACTCGCGAGAAGTCACAGATGGTATACTCCATTCCTTTGTTAAATCAGTTTTTTCATTATCATGTAGAAACAGGATACATTTATGTTTACTGTTCATCAGTGAGCGTTACTATGGCTGATAGAGTTTTTGACATTCAATGCACGTGGTCCAAGCTTCCAAAACAAACAACAGATGAATATGAGAAATTGAAAACACCATTCAATCGTAGTGACCGTCCTACCCAACCTCCACAGCCGCGAGGTTCAAGATACAAATACAGATTCTACAAGAGTTTGAGAGACAGATTCCAACAAGAAATAGACAATGATGATTTTTATGTTATATACACTGTGTCCGTGTAGGGTTTGCTCGTCAACGAGCGCACACCGACGGCAGAAAGGGAAGTCGTGCGCGCTCTTCGACGAGCAAACGCTACCCGGACACGGTGATAGAACACAAAAGAATTTGAGAGACACACTTCAACAAACAACAGACGATAATGATTTTTTTATGATATATGAGGACGTAATGAATATGGACCAGTTTGGCAGAAATTGATTTAAAAAAAACTTAAGCAGGAACATAACAATTTGACAAATAAGAATTGACCAAGTAGCACAATGATGTTTTTTACGAGTCCCGCTTGTAGAAACTACGTGCACGATAGATAAGCTCACTAAACTTCGAACCAGGTAAAGGAAATGAGGATCAGTATTTTTGTAATCTTTTCAACTAAGATGATACTCACATGTTAAAAACCAGAAGGAGACCAATATATAATTTCAGGAATCAGAATACCCAGATGTGGAAGAAGCACTGCAAAAACAAATGTGATTGATATAATTCAGTATGTGAATTAAGTATTCTATCTAAGAAATCTTCACGCACCCTCCTGGTCTGAACGGGCAGTTTTTTTCCATATGGATTTTCAATGACTGCTTAGTTTTGAAAGCAAAGTTCGTTTCTGAGCTACGACATCCTTCATGTGGGCATTTGACTAAAACGACAAGCCCAACGCCAGTTAATGAATAGGATCAGCTTGAGCATTTACTTTTAAGAAACCAATAAGTTATTCAGAGTACTTACAGAGCTTTCCGATTGCTTCCTGCTGTTGTTTGGTAAGATGAACTTGCTCCTTGTGTCATTTTAGATTATCAAGCCGAAACATTTTCCCGCAGGTCTCACACCTGTACTTCTTGGTCGATTTTACAACAGTCACTTTCGGCGCGCTTTTAGTTTTCTTCTGAGGCGGCAAGTCTTGTTGAGAATCTTTCTTCTTATTTCTGGTAGAGGTACCCTCAATGAGATGGACGTTGGCAATAACTACATTTTGTATTCGAACGTCAGAAAAGGGGCTCCAAAAAACCAAATATGCACCTCTTGGACGACATACCTGGATCTTGTGGATTTGAAGATACTTCATGAATATCAATAAACAAATCAGGGACATCGTTGATCTCGAACTGTCCAAAAATATCGTCGTTTCCTACGCGCAAAGATCGCGACCATAAAAAAGTTAGTTTCAGGAGACTGTCGGTGAACTTAAGCAATCTTCTTTACTCACCTGATGAACAGTAAGGCGGGGTGAAGAATTCCAATTCTAGGACAGATGAGATTGGTTCTTCGACTGAGGTTGACGTAGATTGAGCAAGTTCGTTGCCAAGGATAAGAAGATCGTTTGCAGGCATGGATGGACTCAAGAAGAGCGAGTCATCAACTCCTTTTAAACACTCTGATGTCAATACGGTTCGGATATAGGCAGCTGGTCGATCCACAACAATAAACGCGTGAATATGTGTTCTCACCTGCCCGGAAGACAAATGGCGTATTCAGAAGCGATGGGTGCCCGACTACAGTAATACCTCTACAGTCAGTAAAAGAAAGCAGGATACTTACGGATGAAGATGAGCTTTGGATTAGGGTACTTACATTGAGCAAATGGGTACACATCGAGTGCTGCTTGATCCCAAAACGATTGTGACGAATAGTCAATGACTGATTGAAAGAATTGTCCCAGATCGATCAGTCAATCTAAATAGAAAAATTGAATTCGGAGGGTACTCACCCATCGGCAGCGAATTTTCCGAAATGTTGCTGTTTCCATGAAGATGTTGAGGGTTGACGTGAGTGAAGCATAGCGATGTTGAATCCATGATTCAAGATGTGATGTGATCGAATGAAAGTTTTCGATCGGTCTCTAAGCTTCCAGACGATTCAAGATTGGAGCTTTTGAACAGTTGAGGATGAGAGGTCTGAGAAGATTGAAAATCAAAGCTCTAAAACGATCAAGACGCAAAGATCTTAGATGAATGATGATGAAGTTAAAGATGGAAATTGAGTGATGCGAAGTGAGATTCTCAATTGGTACTGAGTGTAGTTGTCCTCGCGTAAAACTGATAAGCATTGACTTACGGATGAAGATAAGAGCGTAATGAGATAAGTATGAACGTCGGTGAAGGATGTGGTAGTTGATGATAGCTTAGAGATAGCTTTTGACTTCAGAACGCGTGCAAGAAGTTTGACGGTGAGAAGAAGTCTGGAGGACTGTGATCCACCGACTAGATATGTAAATTAACGTGTAGCTGCTGAGGGACACTCCATAGTATGAGCTGAGGGACCTAATCATATGTTCAGCTGGCCATGCAGATTGCCCGACCAAACAGCCTACATCATCATCTCTGAGATTCAGGTCTTTGTCCAGATATTTTGGCCGACCATTCTTGACGAAAATTGACGTCTTCAGACTCTCCTTCATATATTAAATTGGATGGAAAAGTTAAGTGATCTCAATCGAAAATTCAACGCATCCATCACCGCACAATTCGCTAAACAAATTACTTGATTTCATTCTTTTTTTCTTATTTTGATGAATGTCCTGATGCAATGATGAAGGTCGATACATCCACTCAAGTATTATTTATGAGAGTGTCTAGACAATGCAGGGAAAAGGCGAGGACCATTTTCTGAAGGAAAATGTCTTGGTTCGTATGTATGATAGAGTAGTGTAATATTTGTTTGTATGTACTTGAAGCTTTTGAAAAGCTTTTGGGTCGGTTATTTCTGGAGATGTGATCAGAAAGACTGTCTTCACTCCAATCAACAACTCGCGACCGATTTCAGGTCGACCGGAGCATGCTCATTTTGGTGGATGAAATTTCTTCGTAGTGCGGCACCTCCTACTCAAGCTCTCGACGCGTCCATCACCAAACAAATTGCTGAATTCTATCCTTGTTTGATTAGTTTGATTAATCTCCCGATAGAATCATGAAGGTCGATACATGCATCTCATTATTGATTTTAAGAGTCTCTATACAACGCACGGAAGAGGCGAGGACCATTTTCTGAAGGAAAATGTCTTGCTTCCTATGTATGATAGAGTAGTGCATTATTTGGTCGTACGCCCCTGAAGCTTTTGAGGAGCTTTTGGGTCGATTATCTCTGGGGATATGATGGGGAAGACTGTATTCACTCCGACCAACACCTTGTGATCGGTTGATGGTGCATCGGAGCATATTCTTTCTGGTGAGTAAAACAGCATCTCTTAGTGAAGCTCATAACGGTGCATCGTAGTCACCTGAATACGAGTCTCGCTCTCATTCTCTCATCCTCAATTTGGCGCGATTCTCCCCCAAATCTGTTTCATTCGCATCAACTATTCTCTTCAAATCCAGATGGGCGCGATCAAACACCGCTGGGACTTACTTCCGTGGCGAACTGCCAGGCTCTGAGGAGCGAGGTGACAAGCTTCGACCCTAGAGGATGATGATGGCTTCTATGTGGCTATGCCTGTCATCCATATTTGGCCCTAGACAAGAATATGACGCGGTATTTTGGTTTGTCATCGTGATGCTCTGATGGAGACAGCTTCCAAGCCTCTGAAGACTTTCCTTCACTTGAGCGATTGTCTCTTTGGTCTCCAAAGAGGACTGGGTCTATGTCCGACATCGCGTACGACCTGAAGGAAGCCGCTTACCGCAATGTGTATCAAGTGTCTGCTCACTATATACTCGAGGCCCACGACCATGTTCTGGTGCGCGCCGTGACAAGACTAGAAACAGATGCTTGCACACGAGTCATATCGGGCGTTTGGGTGTTTTACCCCTTTTCGATTGATGGCGTGGCTCAAATATCAAGAAGTAGTGGATCAACTTGATATCAATGTGCTACAGTTTTGCTCCCCCACTTGTCTATGACTTCGATCTATCAGGTGCCCATAGTCCGCCGACCAAGGGGCTTATCCAAAGGGATCGTGTGTCAGACAATCACCGCTGGATTTTTGTCGCTCTTTACATCCATTTCGATTGGTATCAAGGTGCAATCTTAATGGGAAAGACAAGAAGAGTCCAATCATCCTATCTGGATTGTGTAGTGCGATACCCCATGAAGCGGTAGTGTACGTTCATTCCCTTTCACCATCAACTGGATAAACGTACGTTGCATCATCTTTTCGTGTAGAAGAAGGAAACGTATTCAACATCGGTCCAGATCCGCGAACATGTCCATGGCCGCCTGATAACCTGTCAATCTGCGACAGAGGCGAATCCGTACGGTTGCGCCAAGTAGCTGTTGTAGCTTATCTGTAGCGTGTCACTCTAGGCCATTGAAGATTTTGATAAGGCTCGATCGATCGATCAAGGACTGGACGTCAATCATTCGACCACATTTCGTACGATCCGAACAGCGTCGGTAGTTGTGCACTTGTCCGGTTGAAGCGGACTAGAAAGGCTGTTGAATCATCACGTTGGGTCGTCTTTGTCAATCGACCAACACTTTGATTGTGCGAACTAAGATGAAGAAGTAGAACGAGCAGAGTATGTATGATGAGGAGCGAGGAGAAGTTTAAGCGCTCAACCGACGATCTGGTCAGCTTTGGAAAGTGTAGCTTGTCTCTTTCACACTTACCGCCATGTTTCACACCTCAGTAGAACCCAAGGGGCAGCAATTACAATCTGAGCAACTCCAAAAGAAACCATCTCACGAGCATGCAATCAAGAGCACCAGCGCCAGATTGGAGGACAGACCTGGACAGACCCTGTGTACCATTGGTGACTGTTTGGCCCATCACCTTACAATTTCTAAAGAACGTTGTTGGAAAACCTCAAGAATTTTGCTTCACATCACATGACTGAGTATGTATGTAGGCTGCATCAGAATACCCAGACTACATATTCAATTTCATTTCAAAAGTCTGAAGTTTGAAGGTAGACTGAAGTCAAAAGCTGACTCCTGTCCTCTCCTGTTATCAAACATTTGTGAACTGCTACAGACCAGTAGGCTCATCTCAGATAGGTATGTAGGTCAAAGCCCGGATCAAGCTCTCACTTCTGGCTACTGAAAGATCAGGATCCATTTGTTTGTAGGGATTTAAGTCAACTCACATCTGGAGTTGAGGCAGCCTCCCATAAAGGCTACAAGAATGCTTGGTGTTGAAGGTCAAGATCCCTTGGTAACAGGGAAATCCAGCAAGAGTTTGCAACCATGATTCCCATTTTGGTCACTGGACCATGTGATAATCCATAAAAAGAGGGATCTGATCAACAAAACAAATATTGGACTGCCCAAATAACTGCACCTGTAATCTTATAAAGATTGAAGTAGTTTTCCAATCAATTCCATAATTTATCAAGAAGAACTGCATGCAGATAGTGAATAAAAAGATTGACCAAAAGCTCATGCTAATCTAAAATAAAGATCTCCAACCACAAAACAGCAAGAAAATGGAAAAATGGAAAAACAGATGGAAGGATTAAGAAGATCCAAAAGCAAAAATCAATAGAAAGGGTCAAATGAAATTCAAGATGGTTTCATTAGATCTATTCATACCAATCCTATCCAAATCTTTATCTCTAGGACCAGTTACACCTTTCAATATTTCCAGACCCACAAATACCCAAGTAAATCAAAGATTAGTCAAGAAAATAAAGAAGAAAGGAGATAAAACTTACCATCTGTCCATCTAAGATGATTCAAAGTGAGCTTTCTCATAATCTTTGCATCAGTCAAAGAAAATTGATCACCCCAACTAGAAGGTCAAAAAAAATAATGAAAAAATTGTCAGAAGGTAATGAAAATTTCATGAAGATGAGAAGAAAAAACTCAACCATCCTCTAAATTTCAAACAATTGATAAAATCATCATGATTTTTTAAACACATCTCTTGATTGATCAAATCCTTCGTACCAATTGATCTGAATATATTTCTTTCAGGTGAAGGAAAGTGTTGACATGAATTAAAGTTTAATAATGGATCCCATCTTGGACCTTTATCTGTAAAATCTATGGGACCTAAGAATTTTATTGGAGAATAATCATGTTTCCTTCTTCCCCAGAAAACAAAGAAAACAATTCAACCATGTCAAGTTGAAATTATTACAAGATGAAGCGGAATTCTTACCCTGCTTTTGGGTACATGGCATCTATTCAAAAGAATCAAAAAAATCAAAGTTCAAATTAGTTTTTTTACAACCAAAGGAACCGTGTATCTTTGATAGGAATAAGAGATACTTACGTGAACCATATGCTGAGTAAATTACAGGTCTCGCTCCTACTTTTTCTAACGAATCAAAACGATACGCAAAACCATCTGCATGTGATGAAAGATGTATAGCTGTAGGTTTTTGATCTATGAACCTAATCATACAATGTTCCCTATTTTCAAAAAGAAACAGAAAGATACCTTATTAGACTTTTTGCATCATTGAGAAGATAGATATTTTGCGAAAAAACGTTTCTGGTAATTACCAATCAGCCTGATTTTGAAAAAATGATCACGTAGAGAAAGAATATCAGTTTTTCAAATTGAAGATTAAAACCACAAAAAATATTTACTAAATGATTACCAAAATGAATACCTAAAACTTTAGGTCCTAAATTGAAGGAATAAAAAACTAAGATGGATACAAAGAGAACCCAACATCAATTGAAAATCAAATGCTCAAAAAAAATGAAAGCTTACAGAACCAAAATGCATCCAAAGTATTAGGTATACCAGTTAATTCAGATTTATCTACAACAATCAGATTGACAGTAGAAACTTTAGATTTTCCAAATTCATCAGGTTTACCTTCATTTGAACATAACCATTGGATTGATTGAGGACTCGATCTAATCTTCTCTATATCATCAGTTGTCATATAAGCCTTTTCATGGTTAAATTTCAAATCACTTAAAATCGAAAATGGTATCTCTTTTCTGTTTTCTGCTTGACAATGGGATAAAATTGGTTGATTCGAAAAGTTTAAATTCTTGATGTGATTTAATTGGGAGGCCGGCCAAAATGGTTCTTTGGAATGTAAGTGGATTAATGGTGCGTGATCTAAAACGTAGGATGGTACAGTGTGGAGAACGTTTTTGAGGAATTGAGATTCGATGGACTCTCTTGAGGCCAATGTGGGTCTTGAAGGTTCAGGTTGAGTTGAAGTCGATTCAATTGGTTCTAAGTGAATTGCTGGCATGATTTCTTGCAAGTCAGTTTTCGAAGTGGATGATATGTTGGAAATAACGATGGACGATAGCGAATGACGATCCCTGATCTGGAGGTGAGTTTATATCAGCTATTGGCAATTTACATCTTAGCTTGCCATCTCTGTCACTGATCTTTAAATGAAGTTGAAGTTGAATGAAGTTTAATTAAGGAATTAATTTCTACATCACATCCATCTTCAAGCTCTATAATCGATTCCCTTAGTTTTACACATGGATGATGATCAAAAGACAAAATGAATACCATTCCATCATATGTTATCTCTAGTAAAAAAAGATCATTGGGATAGTTTTTTTGTGAGACTTTTAACGCAATTTACAGCTCTTAGGTGATGTTTGAAAGGTCCTCTGACACTGCGGCGGCAGAAAGCTTCAGGTGTTCATTCAAATCGATCTCTTGTGGCAGACCGCATTGTTCAGATTGATCGATGGAATGGACCTTTTTCGCTTTCGACTTCTTCATGTCTCTTCAAACTAATAGATGCATCAAATCCCAACCTTCTCAGATGAAATATCGCTCAAAAAACATTTAGATTGCGGTTAAGTTGTGCCTTGCACCTTTCAGAGTTCAGCCGCCCATGTAAGCTACCTGTTATTTTATCTTGCTAGAAATATTGCGTCATGGGCCTTCAGGTGGATGTTCACCCATGTGCTCAAAATGATTTTGATAAGATCTTTTCATTGCAACTGGTATCAAATGAAACGCACATGTACCCATGAGTCTGAGTAACATAACTCTTACGAAGACTCTAAAACCAAAGACTCATATTTTTGTGCAAAAGCTTTTCCATCTGATCGTAACTATCGTTTTCAAAAATCTTGCCATCAGACGTCTACATCCTTGATATTTTCAGTCAAAACGAAACTCACTTTAAGATTTTGAAGGTGTAATCTACACGACTTTTTTGCTTCGTTGGTAAGTGATTCACTAACATCCTTGAGTAACGAGGGGCGGGCTTCGACTAACCATGTAAGGATGTAGAAGAATATATCTCAGATTCATTTGTTTTACGGGAGATCTTACAACTCAGGTAAGATCACAGATGACATCAGTGCACAAAATGACAAACCATCCTTGAGAAGGTCTTGAGCAGTCTCTTCCCAATTGTTATCAACCTCACTCATATTCGACAAAGCTTGGATGTTTGTCGAAAGTTGCTTGATCTAGTTGCATACAATCCGATTGATGAGAAACTGATAACAAATCCTTGGTTCTTGAGTTTCGTTGAAGGAAAAGTCACAGACCTGAGGCTCGTAATTTCTCATTAAAAGTCTTTGAAAAACTCTCTCTTCATTCGATTCGTCTTCTGTTTCGATCCACGTCTTTATCTTTCCATTCAACTTGTTCCTATTTTCAGCCAAAAAATGATTAGCATCAATTTTTCATCATGTACGTCAAAAAAGATGAGAAAAATAAAAATGGGTTGACTGACATCTCAGATTGATGATCATCCAAATTTTTATGAGCTTCAGCACTGATGGAAGAATTCAAATCTCGTGCTGTAGCCTCAAACCTTTGATTGTCGGTTTCCTCAACTTTAGTTCTTTTTTCTATAGATTTGAATATTCGCTATCAATCAGAAGTCAGGAGCGGGTTCTGAAAGAGACTTGGAAACCTTACTCTTAATCATCTTTGCCGCTTTCTTGAGCTCTTCATCAGAACTGTTCAATAATTTCCACAATCTGGTCAATGAAAATAGTTTTCTGACGAAGAGGATCGGTCAAATAAGAATTACAATTACCTGAAATCATCGTCTGCTTCTACATGCTTGACCTCTTCGAGAAAACCAAAAAAACCAATAATGTGACTTGTTATCATTCTCTGATCCCGGACGAGATCTATGAATCGAATCAAGAAGTTAGATTGGACCTACGAGTTTTTTGAGTAGGTTTCTTTTCCACTGGTTTCTTAACTACACGCGTTCTCTTTTGAGCCGGCATTTTTGTTTGTTGAAGCGATGAGAAAGACTGATGATGATGGTGAGATGACTCAATGTATCTTATTTACCATACTTGATTACCTCTCTTGATCTCATAACTGTACGATCAAAAAACCAGTGACATCATCCGCATACAGGCAACCCATTGATTTTGGAGTTCGGTATCACACCCCCATCCCAATGCCTTGCAAGTTGCCTTGCACTTGGAGGGTCTCTATAGCAATGTTTTCTTGATGGAGCACTTCAACCTGGACTGAAGTAATCATGCCCTCCAAATATATCAAAGATAGACCAGATGTGGCTAGGAAGCTTAGCTTGACACCTTCAGGATGTATTGCTTCTAAACCTACCATTTGAAGATAGACTTTGTTTGATAATTGACCCAGCTCTCACTTAAAATGTTCTCCTCATTGATACACTTTGTATTGAAATGAGGTAAGAGATGAATATTGTTCACCTAACCTTACTCCTCAGAGCCAATATTCATCATAACCTTTATGCATTGTAAGAGCATGTAATTTTGTGATTAAGGATACAAGTTTGATACAGTCAAACCCGCGCAATCACATAATTTGGGTGGAAGACTTTTCCTATGCATTTTGATGGGTTATGCAATCCCGTTGTCAAATTTGGCAGTGAAAAGCATCAAGATTGGGGAATTTTTCTATGCATTATCACGGGTTATGCAGCTGCGCGGGTATGCAATTGCGCGGGTTTGACTGTAAGCATAAACTGCTTTATTTCAATTTTCTATTTTGATAAGATTGAGACAATTAGTAAGGACCAGGCGGATCGAGCCTAGATTCTTGCGCGCTGGTAGCAGGTATTCCACGTCCAGGGTAGTTCTTGGCTTTGAGATTGGCAAGGATCAGCGTAAAAATTGATGTGGATCACCAGTGTGTCTGCTCACGGCTCCATGTCACAAAGTGAAAATATCAATGCAATCATTGTAGTCACCAGACTCCGCTCCCCACCAACCATGTGTGTCCCCATGAGGTTTTAGAGGGGTGATTACAGGACCCTGGCATGCCCCCATTAAGGGTAATAGAAAGGTTCCTTTTGAGCCCTCTTGAGTCTTTACACCATGGGTTGACCAATGCCTCCTGTGGTTTTGACTTCAATCATGATATCCATTTTGAATACTTTCACCAATGCTAAACAGTGGTTTTGGAGACACTTTGATCACACCCAGTCTCAGCTCATCAATGCTGAGGAACAGCTAGTGGCTTGCTAAAGTACCCCCAGATGTTTTTCCAATGTGACTCTTATTTTGTATCAAATTGTCCTAACATTGTGAATGTATTTGATACACTAGAGAACATGTGGGCATTCCCACCACAGTTTGACTATTTCACAACTTACCCGCAAGCATTCAAATTTCCCAAATACAGTCAAACCCGCGCAATTGCATACCCGCGCAGCTGCATAACCCGTGATAATGCATAGAAAAATTCCCCAATCTTGATGCTTTTTACTGCCAAATTTGACAACGGGATTGCATAACCCATCAAAATGCATAGGAAAAGTCTTCCACCCAAATTATGTGATTGTGCGGGTTTGACTGTATTTCAGTTGAGTCAACACCTGCTATGCTTGGTTCCAGCTCACAATTATCCACAAGTTTCAAGACACAATGATGGAATCTTTGTTGTTAAGCACACTTCAAAACCATTGTAGCCAACCAGGTGGTATAAGTTAGGTGAATGGTTGATTTATAGAATATGTTTGGATGTGCAGAGATTTGTTAGGAGATCCAATGGAAATCAAATGAGGTGGGACAGGTTACCCTTTTATATGAGTGAAAACTTGAAGTACACCAAGGCGTGAATACAAATTTTGGAGTCAGGTTGCCAAAATCTGGGTATCAAGCATTGCAGGTGACTTGAATGAAGGAATTAATTGCAATAAGGCAAAGGTGCCTTGCCCCAATAAATTATCAAGAAAGGTAGATACTAGAATTGGTGGGTAACTGAAGCATAAAAACAATTAACTATTTCAAAGAACAGAAAAAAATCTCAAACTGAAAGCAGTGTGTCAATAACGCAATACAGAAACATATCTTGTTTCCTTTCAACAAGACATGAAAAGCACAGTTTATCACTACCAAAGAAAAGTGTGATCACATAATTGTTAACTCAAACACAAACAAAAAAATTAAAATATAAAGGGAATAATAGAAGTTGAAAAGCAAGAATACAATCACAGACTGAAGTTGAAAAGGCACAAAACTGACCTGATGTGAGGTTCACCAGAGCAGAAGAGGATAGGACAGCACTTGTGCAAGTCTGGTCCACATTTTATATTCTATATACTGACTTGGAACTGTGAATTACAACAGTAAATTGGAGCTGTGAAAGAGCTCAAAAGAAATATTTCTGTGTGACTACCCTTCATAGGGGCATTCCAAGGGTCCTGGGCTTGCACCTTATAACCCAAAAGCTTGGTGTGATGCCAAGTCAGGATTTTCTGGGGCTACCTTCAGCCTCCATATTTGAAATACCAGGCAAAAAAACCTCCCAATATTCCCCTGTGAAAGTTGAGGAATATTTTTTTTCTGAAATTTTCCTCTCTTCAGAATCTCTATAGCTCTCCTAGAAGCCATTATATCATTGACACCGGTGATCATTGATTGAAAAATCAGGAAGAATCAAGATTCAATTTTTTCTATCACAGAATTCTATAGACACAATAGTATCAATATATCTCTTCCAACCCATAGCCTCTCTTCCATTCTTGTCAGAGACAGAGACAAAACATCTACATTCCTCTGATTAGTGCTCCGGGACTCAAGACTCTTTACTGTCACCTCATGTGGATACTTTCTTATCAATGCATGCATCTATTGAGGGATATTACGTAAAATATGCATCAGAAAAGAAAAGCCAATGTAGAATTTTTGAGATGTTGGCAGGGAACAGTGTACTAGTGTAGATTTATGTGCAAAGTGTGGAAAATGAAAAACTGTTCATTGATACCACACATGGCAGTACAATATTCCATGAATCCCTCTCCACAGTCTCAGAGGAGAATTAATGAGAGGTACTTGCATCAAGGGAGCTAAGTATTTAAAGTTTTGATTGACGGAATCATTTCCATTTTGGGTCGGATAAGCTGCTGCACTTCTCACCTGTATGGTCGATTAGCTTAGTTGGTAGAGCGTGGTACTAATACAACATGTGTCAATGCCAAGGTCATGGGTTCGAGCCCCATATGGACCAGATTTTTTTGCCGTGAATCATGGGTTATATGTGTCTCCTTTGTAGAATTGTTGTAATCCTTTCCCTTTGATTGGAGTTTCTCATTCTTTTAAAGTGCATATAATTTCAAGCTGTACAAGTCTAATTAGAAAAGATACAACACATTAGTTGGGGCCAGCGCAGTAAATGTGTCGTATCTTTTCCAAATAGGCTTGTACACCCAATTTGGTAACTGGTGTGATGTGGGCAACTGACTGTGCACCACCAAAAAGGTACACTGATTTTTGGCTGCATTCTTGACCCAAAAACATCATTTGGTAAACTAAAATGCATCAAAAGGTGCACACACGTTTTTGCACACATGTGCCAAGGTTGTGCACATTCTTGAAAACGAAAAAAGTGGTATCTTCTTTTGACATATGCAACTGCAAGTCCTATTCTATCCTTTTTATCTCTCCTTTTAAATATGGCCCCTCACTACCTCTTGCTTTGGACTTTGCCAAATTTTGTCTCCCTTTACCAGCAACAAATTCAACATCTCATCACACAAATCCATTTGATTTTGAAATGGGAGTATCCAAACTCTCCATTCTCAGTCTTGACATATGTTTTCAATCTTGATACAGCCTTCCTTTTGTTAATCTCAACAATCAATATCTGCATTTAAACTTGATATCTACCTCCTTTGATTGATCTTAATTTGTTTGCTTTCTTCCAAATCACAAATCATTTTGTATTTGTCACTTTAAAAAGTCCTTCACTTTCTTACCATTTTACCAAATGTGCTCAGATAGCAAAGTGTTGTGTGATTTTACACCTACACACACAATGAGAACATTTCTCACCATGATGTAAAATTTGCATATGCAAATTAGTGTGACTTTGATTATTGAAGGGTGTGGCATGTGTTGCCTGTAACTGATGTGCAGCTACATATTGTTTTGGAAAATACTAAATCCAGCCCAGTGTTCAGAAATCTGAGCGCCCAGCTTCACTCTATATTTACTCTTGTTCCTATGCAATTCATGTGTTGCTTGACATTCCCAGTGGTGTATTATTTGAAGCTCAACAAGAGCTTTACAATATAACTAGTAGATGTTGTCTAAGACTGCCTTCTTCAAAGAACCTAGCACAAGGGCACTTGCTGACCACTTGGTGATAACAGAGAAACTGATAAGGCACCAGAGAAATGATATCAATACTATTATAATTATTGCCAGTTTTTAAAGCACAAAATCACAAAAAAAGTACATCCATTACTAGCAATACTATCGCAAGTATTATTACCAAAAAAGACTTATAGTCTTATCACATGTAGATAAATTTCTCCATGATTTGAAAATTAAGATCACGAAGTGATCATTAAGTGCAGGACGTGTATAGACGCTTAGATGTAGCTGTGCATAATGATATGTTTTCTTTCTTACATAATGCCACAACGGTTGAGCTCGATGGATATCATATATTAGAATACTCTTGTGCTACTCGCTGTTATTCTCTTTTCTCCATTGAACTCAAACTGTTTTGTTTCGCCCAATCTCTTTCTCATAGATTGTGCAGTTCGATCATCTACAGTCTTCATTCCTAAAGACTTAGCGTGATCTCTTTCTTTACCAGGTGTTAGTTAATGTTGTTGTTGTTTTGTTCAAGTTCTCTTAAAGTAATCGAACTCAAACTGTTTTGTTTCGCCCAATCTCTTTCTCATAGATTGTGCAGTTCGATCATCTACAGTCTTCATTCCTAAAGACTTAGCGTGATCTCTTTCTTTACCAGGTATTGTGCAGTTCGATCATCTACAGTCTTC